GTACACACTTAGTAAATTGATTCTTGAAGCTCATCCTTTTCAAGACGGCAAAGAGGAAGGTCCAGCTGACCCTATCAAAGGCCTTCTCTGCGTCAAGGCTTACTAGTGCTGTGGGGATGTTTTGTTTTTTAGCTTTGTTTATTATGTGTAACGTGCGTCTTATGTTATCTTGTGTTTGGCGATTTTTTATAAAACCTGTTTGATCTTCATCTATCAGTTCAGGAAGAAAAACGTCTAATCTTCTAGTGATTATTGATGTAAATAATTTGTAGTCGACATTCAGTATAGAGAGTGGCCTTTATGATTCGCATAACTCCTTATTTTTACCTTCCTTTGGGAGAACTGAAATGACGGCTTCTGACCATGAGGGGGGCCTTTTTGAGTGTTGAATTAAATGATTCTAGAATAACCGGAGCCAGTTCATCTCTGAACACCTTATACCATTCATTAGGGAAACTGTCACTTCCTGGACTTTTGTTTGTTTTTAATCTGCTGATAGCCTTGTCGAGTTCTTTTTTAGTGATCAGTGCCATTAAACTTTCATTTTGAAATTTACGTATTGATGGGAGATCTAGTTTCTCTAAATATGTTTCAATATCTTTTTCATCGACGACTTGTGATTGGCAATACAGGGTTTTATGATATTCTAAAAAAGTGTCTTTTACTTTCTCTGGCTTATAATGTGTCTGCTTATTTTTTAGGTCCCAAAATGTCTGTCTTGAGTTCCTCATTCGCTGTGACCTGAGTCGTTTGACTAAGATTTTAGTAGATTTGGGGCCTGATTCGTAGAAGGTCTGTTTAGAGAATCTCAAATTATTTTCAATCTCCTTAGCGGCCAAGTTGGATAATTGATCTTTTGCTTTTTTAATGCTTTCTACCAGGGCTACACTTTTATCTGTATGTTGCTTTTTCTCCAAGCTTCTCAACTGCTGCTCTAAGCTTATCTGTTCCTGTTTTCACCTTTTATTAAGGTAGGCTGTCCTTGAGATTAGATTCCCTCGCATCACTGCCTTTACTGTTTCCCATATTATCGTTGGTTCCATTTGGTCCCCCCTGTTATTGGTTATGCAGTCCTTTATTTCTTTCTTCATTTCTTTCACCCCCGCTGCATTGTTAAGTATTCCAACGTTCATTTTCCATAGGGTCTTTTTATTTGGATGATCCAGCTTTATGGTTAAATTTATTATGTTGTGGTCAGACACATCTACCGTACCTATATTGCTGTCCTTTACTCTATGCTGGTCTATAATGTTCATTAGAAAAAAGTCTATTCTAGATTGTGTCTTGTGAGCTGCTGAGGAGTGCGTATAGTCTCTTTCTAGCGGGTGGAGATCCCTCCATATGTCGCTCAGACATGTTTCCTTAATGAGATGGTTGAGGACCCTTGATTTTCTGTTTTTGTATCTTTTTCTGCTTGTCGTGTCCTTTGTGTAATTCAAAAAAGTGTTCCAGTCGCCCGCACATATCAAGATTCCCTCACTCAGAGTTGTTATCTTTTCAAATAGTAAGTTGAGGACATTTTGATTGCCCTCTGGTGTACATAAACATTTACCAATGTCACAAGGTTACACTCCAGCCTCCCCTTGACTATTATATACCTACCCTCTTTGTCTCTATCCTCCTCAGTCATCTCAAAGCTCACCCAGTTTGGTATTAAGGTAATAACCCCTCTTCTCCGACTATTTTTACAGGAACTGGAAAAGGAATTCTGGTATCCAAGCCTTTTAAAATTCTCATGCTCACATTTAGACATGTGTGTTTCTTGCATAAATATCACTTGTGATCCATCCCTCCTGAGTTTTGTCAATATTCTGCTTCTTTTTATTGGGTTACCAAGGCCATTCACATTTATCGATGTTACTTTAAGGTTTGTCGACCCGTTCATTTATTTTATATACATAAAAAAGGTAGTCCCCACTACTAAACTCGCTCCATGAAACACAACGACTCAAACTCTGAGACCAACTAAACATAAATAACAGAGAGAACACATCATACCTAGAACTTCCACCTAGTGGGAAAAAGTCTCTCCCACCTGGACCCCATTGGTAGGCCTAGGGAAATGCCTCTCTTGATGAGAGGGCCCTACGTAGGTTTGGGTGAGCAGTGTAGCTGCCTTCATCCTAATTGTCCAACGATCCCCCCTCGTCTTCTGGTGCCGCTCCTCTTTCCTCTAGATCCGTGCGGCCGACGCGTTGTGTGTGCCCGGCTTGAAACTCCCTCAGTTTTTCTTTTGCTCTTTGTGCCGTTGAGACTCTGTGCACCTGCTGGGGTAGAGGCTTCCGTTGCCATCCCAAGATCTCCAGCAGGCGAGATTCCAAAGTATCCTCCCCCGCCCTCATCGTTGGCGCCTCCACGTTCAGCCCGTTTTCAGCCCGTTTACGCAGCTCCTCTCTGGCTTCGTGCGCACTTCCGTACGTGCGGGCCCCATCCTCCCAGTGAATGCGTACATTTGTGTACGGTGTTTGGAATCCTATGTCTCTGTCTTTTAAGCTCTTCTTTACCATTTGATACTCCCTGCGCTTTATCGCAATTTCAGTAGCGTAGTCGTGGTCAAAGTAAATGTTTTGATTGTCCAGACGGATCCGCCCTCTTTTCCAGACTTCTTTTAATATTAGCTCCTTTGTTGTGAATTCCTGAAAATTGACTACAATTGATCTTGGCGGTGCATCTGATAAGGGTTTCCGAGCTGGGACCCTGTGAGCTCACTGGATTTTCAGATCCAGATCAGCTGGTAATGGTAGCTACCTTTTAAGGAGGTCCGTGATGAATTGTACCACCGATTCCCCCTCCGCTCCTTCGCCCACTCCAAAAAGTCGAATATTGTCTCTTCTGGCTCTGGATTCCAGCTCAGTCAGCTTGTTTTGGGTGGTCTTTTGTTGTTCAATACTCCTGATCAATGCTTCGATCAGCTCCACTGACATGTCCTCCACATGTCCCACATGTGTCTCCACTTCTTCCATTCTTTCTGTCAATCCCTGCATGTCTTTGGTTACTGTGTCGAGCTTGCCTCCCATTTCCCGATGCATCGCATTGATATCTTTCCTCAGGCTTTCGTTATCCCTTTTAGCTCATTCTTAAGGTCTCCGATAGCCTTTAGCAATTTGCTTGTAGAGATGCTAGAGCCTGCATTAGCTTGTGCTGCTGCGTTGCTAGCTCTGGTCGACGGGTTGTTCTTTTGTTGCGGTTTGGGCATATTTGCGTCTTCCTGGCCTGCGGTTTGTTTTCGGAATATTTCTTCACCCACTATCTATTCTGTGGAATGGAGTCTCTTTAGATTTTTCAAGTATGAAGTGGGTTTGCTGAGGCGTATCGAGGAGCTAGCACCAGACGCGTCTACCCGTCTACGTCATCTCGCCGGAAGTCCTCTGTGTGAACTTTTAATTGCCCACTCCCCATCTTGGTCACTGAGGTCAGCCGACCAGTTTCTCCTGGAGATGCCGAGAATGAAGATAAAGCTCAGGGGTGACAGAGCTTTCTCTGTAGCAGCCCCAAGGTTGTGGAATGCACTCCCAATCCAGATTCGGATTATTTTCCTCACTGTCGGGTTTTAAATCACTTTTAAAGACTCATCTGTTCTCGGTTGCTTTTAATTCAGTTTGAGAAGGCATCAGTTTTAGTAGCTTTTATGTCAGTTTGATTTGTTTGTTTTTGTCATGTTTTAACTTTTTGATGAACTTCTATCTTATTTTTAGCATTATAGGAAACTTCTGTTCGTTTTGGCTTGTTAAGCACTTTAGTCAGCTTTTATGCTGTTGTAGCTTTTATGCTGTTGTAAAGTGCTATATAAATAAAGTTGACTTGACTTTACTCACCTATTTTGGCCCGCAACAGAGAAGGCTGTTGGTTTAGCGTCCAGGAAACAAACAGCAGAGAGTGTCTTGGCTAGTGGTAGCTAAACTTTAGCAATAACAACTCAATCGCTCAGCAGAATTCCTTCAGGCTTGAGTTATTTATGAAGATAAAACAAGGTTGCAGAGAAAGAGAGTCAGTGGTGGAGTCTAAAGCTCAGCTCTGATGTGGCTCACTTCTAGTTCCTGAAACTGGTGCACTGGTGCATTTTTTCCCCCAAAGCAAGACTTACAAGGCATTCATTCCTGCTAGAGACCACTGCAAATTTATTGCTTAACCTAATCTATAAAGTTAGACCCAATTATAACGCTATCTCAAGTTCTAATATTAATCTTGAATATTTAAAATAAAACGTAACTATATAACGTTAAAGCACGATTTAGCATAAACTCTATAGGTACATTTAAACCTACTTGTTTAGCATCAAATCTAATTTTATAAAGGAGCAGTTTAATATTTACAATGAAATCAACATATGAAGAAGAATCTTAAAATTAGGAATCAAATCTATATACATTTGATGAATCTAAATTATAGTGTTAATATATACGATACAAGCGACAATATATTCAATGAGTGTACATTACCTGTGCAAGACCCGGATGTTTGTGTTTTCATTCTATTTTTATAATGTTTTTATTATTATTTTGATAGCTGAAGGTTGTGGTAATGCCCTTTAGGGTATTTTTATAGTGTATGTGCTGCTTTAACGAGTAAATTTCCCCACTTTGGGATCAGTAAAGTCTATTCTGTTCTATTGTGTCCTATTCTAAACTTTAGAACAAACTTTGTCATGAACATAAATTTGAACAATCAGATTTATTATAAATAAGTGTGGTGAAAAGGTGAATTTGAAATTATTCCTTGTCTTTTTATTTGGCACAATTATTGATAGATTCATCTACATTTTGTAACATTTTTCAAAATTGTGGCTTTTCAATCGGCCCCACTGTAAAGTAGTGAAATGTCCACAGGGGGGCAGAGTGTGTTATAGGTCTGAGAAGAGGAAATTAAAATGAACAGCTGACCAGAGATCAGCTTTAAAAGTTCCAGGCTCATATGAGGAACAGAAATTTGTCCATCTCTTAATTTTAGCATCCTGCTGCTTCTGAGTCCTTCAGTCCTGTTTAATCAGTTCTTCTGTTGTTGTAGTGCTCTGCGTCTCGTCCACATACCGAGATTACCGTGCAGCTCTCATCACACTGTTGGTCTAACCTGAAAAAATATTTTTAAAGCCTAAAGATTGCATTGTCTGGGTGATTAGCTGAGAGGTTGGAGGAATTCTCTCTGATTAGCCTTCTCCACCAGACGGGGATTAAGCTTCAGATTATTATTATAAAGCATACGTCAGCAGATATCCACCCATTTTAGTCAGATTGAGGCGGAGGGATCCTGTTAGGTGCCCGAGCAGACACCCAGGAGGATCATCCTGAGTTCAGTGCCACGACGCAGGGCTGCCTCTGCTCCTTTAACAACCCATTCTATGGTATTCTGCTCAAGATGGCGGTGCAGGCAGCAGAACATGACGGAATAGTGAGTATACTGCCGCGCCGGGGATTTGTTTGTGTTATTCCCACTCTGCAGCCTTCTTGTTTGCGGGTTTGTGTTTTTGCGCACAGTTATTGCTATTGTGCGTGTCGTTGTGAAGCGTGGCGAGTTGCGCGTTCAGAGCGCACTCCCATACCCTTTCACCTGGGACTGGGGAGGAAACGGGAAACCCAACAGGGACACGCGTCGGTGGTCTCTTGAGGCCGCTTGCCCCAGGTCGGACTCAGATTGTTGAAGATGGAGGGTTATTTCTTAAAGCGCACGATCACGACAGGTCTGCTGGTGCCACCTCAGCCACCAAAACGTGTCTGTTGATTCTAGGCCCGCAGCAGCATCGCGATGGCTGTTTGACCTCACTCCAGGCTTGTTTATATTCAAACAACCATCCCGCTCGTATATTTTCTCGCAGGCACTGAACATGGATGATGAGCACCTGAACGACTCGCTGGAAAACCCGGGTCTCATCTCACCAGACAAGGAGGACTTATCGCGTGTCCTGGTAGGAAATACCACAGATCAGCTTTAATTGACACTCTGTGTGAGCAGCGCATCATAACCTTTTGTTTTTATTTGCGCAGATCGTGCCTTTCAGTGGGCGCATTCGCGGCGGAATGCGCCCAGGAAAGAGGATCATAGTGATGGGTATTGTCGATCTGGAGCCAGACAGGTGAGGGAATGCGGCAGTTCAGCTTTTATCTCTGCAGAACTCTGATTTAAATCTCTGTGCGGGCCCAAGAGCGTTTTCCTTTTGTTATGATAGACAAACCTGCACAACCACTCCATGACGCAGAGAGTAAGGATAGATGCAGGAGAAGAGTGACTTAAATATGCAGGGCGTTCCCTCACATCATGCATGAATGAAAGAAAGGGGAGGGGAGATGCTGTTTTTTTTTGGGTGTGCCCTTACCCTGGATGGAAACTTGTGCTGAACTTGGAAGAAGCCTCCCCATGACCTCATCTTGTTCAGTGGCTGCTGCTGGCAGAGTAATCAGACCAACGTTTATGAGGAGGAAGGTCCCATCTGAAGGAGCTCTGCCTTGGCTGAGTCTTGGGAGGTTTGCTGCAGGGGAGGGAGGATCACTCCCAGCAAAACAGAGCTTATGTATAATTAACAAACACTTGGTTTGCTCTTACACAGCAACAGCAGAATTATTCATTGAACTCGTCCCTGAGTAGCTATCCTGTTTAGGATCCTGCCTGTTTCAGCTGTTCTCTTGCTTCAGGTTCGACATCAGTCTGACCTGCGAACGAGGCTCGAACAAGGAAGACCTGCAGTACGACGTGGCGCTAAAGCTCACAGCTCGCTTCAACGACCGCCAGTTCCTGCGCATCGCCCGTGTCTCTGGGAAGTGGACAGAGGAGGAGGCGTCCACCGCCTACTTCCCCTTCATCCCCGATCAACCTTTTAGGGTAATGATCAGTCATCACAGATAATCCAGTAATAAACATAAGTTTCATTAGAGTGACTGTGGTTTCATACAAACTCTTTCTTACAGTTTGCTGTGAAATGTTCTTGCTGCACACCAATTAGGGGACAAACAGGAAAAGAGGCGTTAGCTTTATCATGTTTCTCTCATTTAAACGCAGCCTGTGTGTGCAGCGGTCGTCAGCATCAGCTGTCTGTGTGAGAGGTCCAGCGAGGGGTCTGGAGGCGCTTGAACAGTTGTGCATTTGCATCATGAGTAATCACCAAGACGTCTTTGCTCTTTAACGTGATAATCTGCTCTAATAATTTCAAATGTGGCCATTAGCAACAAACGGGACGTTCTGCTAAATGTTTACTTCATTGTGATGCTTTAACATTTCCATACAAGCAAGGAGTTCACAACGTCTGTGATTATTAGAGAGGTGATTCCTGCATGCGGTTCCTCAGTTGATTCTGATTTAAAACATCTGTGTGGTAAAAACGTGGTGAAACAGGTCAGAACAGGTCAGCTCAGGCAGGAGGCTGGAGGTTCATGGGAAGTGTTTTAAAGTGTTTCTCTGCAAAATGGATAGATGCTTTATGTCATGATAACTAAACGGCTCCTCATCAGACAAACGGTTTACTTATTTCAGGACTGATGAGCTAACGGCTAGTCTGATTGAGGCAAAGACCAAATTGTATTGTTGCCATCTAGAGGTGCTCAATATATCAAAAATTCATCACTCTAGCATCAGTCTGATGGTACAACAATTAACCAAATTCTGGTGGATTCTAAGGACCGTGGTTAAATTCTTGTAGCTAAGTTGAGCAGTGGCCTGTCATGTTCTCACCTGCTTTAGATTATAGGGGCCAATATGCTAAACAATACAAGAAAAATGATCCTAATCATAAGGGTTTCTATTGTGATATTTCACTGTAGCATTGAATAGAAACAGCCATGATTTCATCTTAAAACGTCTTCAGTTGCTCTCAGTTGGTCATTTTGGCAGAAAAACCAAGAAATTCCTTCAGGATTTCTGGTGATATTTATATTAGTTTATCCTACAAAATTGCATGTAAATACTTTGCCAACATAACTGACAGCTGTTTTAAAGTTGATTAAATAACAGCACGTTAATAGATGTGAAGCTTTTGTATCTTTGAGCAGTTTTTTAGATGGCAGCAACACAATGACTCATATTTCTCAAGACTGAGGCTATTAAAAACTGTAAGATTATTAACGCTGTTATGGCAAATCTGCAAACAAACTAGGTTATTAATTGAAACACGGTCACAGAACACTCACCCCTCCCCCTCGGGTATCTTCTCTGAGATGCTTCTGCTGGAAACCGAAAGCCGCAATGTCGGAGGAAACAAGATGGCGCTTAACACCAGTCACTGCGTTCTAGTTATTTTGTTGTCCACAGCTTCAAAGTATGTTTTTCTTTTTGGGACTCTGGTAGTTTGTCCTAAAGTTGAAGAGGTAGCAGCCAGCTCTTTCTCCTTCTCTGATGTTATTGAACCATGAATCCCTCACACGGTGGTGTTCTGTTGGTAGTGCTAAATGAGTGGAGGACCCAGGGAAGTGCAGCGGTTCTGCGCGACCAACAACCAGATGGTCCACTAGTTACTTTCGGTCCAAGCCGTGGTATTGACGGAGGATTTTTACAAATACGAGATAACCTTTTCATTATTTTTTTTCTAACTCCCAATAAATATATAGCTATACTATATTAGAATGTTGTTAAGAGGCATGAAAAAATGTTTTTCCACATTTGCCATTGCAGCTTTATTAATAGAAACACGCTGGGCAGACTCATGACCTGCTGTGGTTTTACACGTAAACAGCTTTTTTCTGCTATTAGCTTAAGAACAAAAGATATTCTGATGTTTACATTTACTATTTTTGGTCCAAATCACACATTGTGTCATATTTTCTGCAGTTATTGATGTGCAGAAGTGTCTGATGCATGCACCCTGCACCATCTTTAAGATAAATAATAAATGAAGAATTTTGGCTAACTGTTAAAGGGGCATTATGGAAGTTTGACAGTCAAAACATGTATAAAAATAATACATTTCTTCTTCATACATTCTCCTGCAATGCCCTGGTCCTGTAGAATGAGCCTTGACATTTTTACTGTGATTGCCTGTTTTTCTGTAAAATCACAGAAAAAGAGAGCTGCTCGGGTCGAGCAGGCTGCTTCATGCGCGTTCACGCTCAGGCATAGCCCGTAGCACTTGCTATCTGTAGCTTTAGCAGCAGAGAGAGGTAGTGCCGCTTTGTCGCTGTTCCTAACGCCTAGTGACAAAGCTAGCTACATTTCTGAGGACCCTTAGCTACTTTCTGTAGAACTTTATTCTAGATATTTCCTGCAAATTAGCAACAAAATAGCCATTTTCGCTCCGAACTGTTCTTTGAACGTTGTTTCAGCTGTCATGAAGGATATAAATGTTACAGATACAGAGGATGTTACTGGTGCTGTAGCTCACCTAGTAAGATGTTGGACTCCCATGCGGAAGACCTGGGTTCAATTCTGGACATGAACATAGTATATTTAGAGTTTATGTTTTACATTAATGGTATATTTTTTTACAGTAAGATGCCCAAATTTTTATTTGAGACTCGCCGAACGGCATTGAATTCACAGAAAAAAAAGATGTGGGTTCAACTTTCATTTTGGAACAATTTTTCAAGCAAGGGAAGGGAATGATCTGAGCATGCAGGAGGACTGACCCATTTTAAACTTTTGTCAGCTGTGCTGAAGAGAAAGGTACAGAACCAAATTATTTAATTAATTAGCTGCGTGTTCTCCTGTCCTCTGTCCTCCAGGCCACACACACACAAGGGACTGTCTCAGCTGTTATTTTCGTTAAGGAGTGTGCACGTACAGCATGCGCACCTCGTGCACGAGCCTACTATTGAAGCTGCTGTTACGCTTTTGGCCTGAGGGGGCAATTGCGAGCATAAAAATTCAAAACTGTAAAGTCCCTTTAAGCTCAGTTTCTGTTGCCATATTTGGTGAAATTTCAGCTGAGGGATGGATTTTATTAAGCTTTTATTTCCACTGTTTGGTGAACTACTAATCTGAGTTGACTGAACCATTTGGCATATTTATGTAGTTTGGTAAGAGGCATTGTGATGCTGTCACTGCACAGATAGGATAGCATCAGCTTTATGGAAACTTGGAAAGATAATAACCCGACTGCAGGACATTTGCATACAATCATTTAACAATCGGTACTCTTTTCTTTTTCAACTCTGAAGCATGTCATAAATAAAATGTTTGTTTTTCTCTGCCTCTCTTCTTTCTTCTTTCCTGCCTGCAGATCGAGATCCACTGCGAGCACCAACGGTTCCGGATATTCGTGGACGGACACCAGCTCTTTGACTTTTATCACAAAGTAAAATCTTTGTCGTCTATCGACACCGTACGGATACAAGGAGATCTACAAATCACCAAGCTTGGTTAACGTCTCACTTTTAGGTGTGTGTGTGAAACAGACTTAATCACAGATGACCTCACACACCTGCAGCTGTTACATCATCATCTGTAATCTGTCCTCAACACTGCAGCAGCGAGACAACAGGAAAACTGCTCTAAATGGGTTTTTCTCTTTGTTTTCTGTCACTGGGATCAGTTGAGGATGAACATGTTCGCTCCGGTATTGTGTTTTCTTTTCTCCCAGTTGTTTTAGATCAGAAGTCCCAGAGTTCATTAACGCACACAAATCTTCTACAGAGTCTTTTTGGAGCAAGAAGCGTTAACACACAAAGCAGTTGGATACGTTATTTTCTGTTGCATTTATCCAAAAATCACAGTGAATTTCAGTGTTTATACAGTTTATTTATCTGTGCTGATGCATCTCCAACTCTTCTGCCGTTCTTCTGAATTTATTCCCGTTGCCGTAGTAACGTGCTGCAGCCTCACCGACCCAAATACTCCGACACAAGGATTATATTTAGCGGGGATGTGTCCCATGCCATGCTCAGTGCTTGTTCGAGGTTTACTTCCATCTGGGTGACCACAGCTGTTCTCCTGCAGCTGAACAGGAAGTCGGGAAGCAGGATCAGGTCTTTGTTGGTCATTTGAATGTAAAGGATTCATGTTTTTGATGAGATGTAGTGATGAAGAGTCCTTTAAAGTCATTTGTCCAGCTGGTGCTGTCTAATAAGTTTTTTTTATTGTTTCCTGAAACATTCCATTCAAGTTCACGATGATTCAGACCTTCAATAATGTCTTTGTAACCAAAAGTCCTGCAAAAATTGTAATAATTTGTTTTGTTTGTATGACCATTCCACTTCTTTAAAGACATCTTTTTCTTCATTGAGGCAGAATAATAATAGTAGTAAAATAGGTAAAGTATTACTTCTTAAAGGTGCTACGTTTGCTGCTCTTCCAGTATCCTTTACAGATCAAATTCAGGTTGTACTTTATTGCAAAAGGTGTTTGAACTAATAATTTATATTTATGGAGGGAGAGCAGCTTTAGGGTTGCCAGGTTGTGAAAATCCCCTTTGGTGTTCTGATGATTCTAATAACTCAAGCTTATGGGTGAATTGGTCACTGACTCTCCTTTCTAATCGTTCACATGTGGATCTTTGTAATCACGGAAATCTGGTCCCAAAGATTTCCAGGAAGATCCCAATGAAGCAGCTCTATAACTTCCAGTTCACTGGCTGTGCTGTGGTTTTTCCATTTAATTCCCTTTGTCCCACTAAGAATTTAAATTTTAGCTTGCATCAAACAACAGATCTGTTTTTAAGAGTAATCATCGGAATGTGAACACGTTTTCCTCAAAGATTTCACAGTAAAACTCTGACCATGACAAGCCTGAGGAGTTATTTTCAATCATTGTTTGAATTTGGATGTGAAACAGTGAAACGTCTGTGGAGCACTGCAGCACAGACGTTTCATTTGTTCCATCCCTCCTTTTTATTTTAGCTTCTTAGTCAGAGGATCATCTGTATGCCAGTTTCATCACTAAGTATTTAAAGCTTCTTGAACGTGGCTCCTCCATGGCGGCCTGCTTCTACGCGGAGCTGCTTCCTGAGTTGCTCGTTCTCTGCAGGCAGACGCTCGTCTGTTTCAGACACAAACAGGAAATGTGGACTTTTTGGAATGCGAGCGCACAGAGAAGCCAGTCTGAGTTTACATCCCGTGTGGTGATGCATCGTGTAATTGTGTACACGGTCTTGTTGCTGGATGCAGTTTTTCTGTGCTCCTTCATGGATGCTGCATTTCTTATTAAAAAAAAACGTGACTCAGCAGTGGGTTTCTGTGGTGTAGCCATAAGATACGTGTTAAATTCATCAGCCGTCGTGTGGTTTCCAGTGTTAACGGCTGCAGGAATTATGGAGGAGGGAGATAAAACAGTCCGAGAACTAGATGGTTTTTGGTGTTTTTACTTTTAACTGGAAGTGGTTCTTTGCAGTATTTGATGGACTGTTGTGTGTTTTATTCGATCTTCTGTGGAGTTAATTACAGAATTAGATTTCAGGGTTTCTATTTAGGTTCTGTTGCACTTTATGAGCAAAGTTCTTGATCTCCTGACAAACCCATTCCTTTTGAAGATGAATCTAAAAACATATAATTTATCACCCCTAGCCGTTACATTAAAGACTAAGAACTGAATGTCACTAATATCTTCCTGATTGTAACTGGATGATAAAACCCCAGCTTCTCGCCTTTGTGATTTTATCTTTCACGTTGTTTCCCTCGCCGTGAAAGAGCAGACTAGATGTAAATGAAACATTTTATTTGACCCTTTTTGTCTTTTACCCTGGTTTTGGACTCCGGGTGTAGATATTATTATTATTATTATTATTATTATTTGAGTTGGATAACAAGCGGAGTTATGAGCCGAAAGCATATTGTGCATGTAAGCTAGTTAACATGATCCAGTACCAGTGTCTGTTTCAGTTAAGCATGCTACTTTTGTTTCATTCTTTTTATTTTTTTACTTTGATCTCTTTTGTCAAAGAAAAGGCTAAATTAAACTCACAACACATCTTCCCTTTGACCAGTAGCTTTCTTAACTAAAGGGTTTTTGTAACTGCCTTCATTGTTGTAGAAGTGTCCTGAGTAGAAGTAGGGTGATCTGTGTGTATTGTATGGTTGTACAGTCATGTTTTATTTATTTCAGTATAACCAGCAGGGTTGTGCGCGTGGTGAAGACTTGCCTAGTGTATATGCTGTTTATATGAAGGCATGTTGAGAAGTTGAATGTTTTATATTGCTGCTGTGAGGTGTTTAAACAGGCACGGGTTCAAAGAGAAGGCTCAGAGTAAGGTCCCGTTTTGCTGAGTGGAGTTTGCTGTCCTGATATTGATGCTCCGAACATTAGCTCTGATCCAAACCACCTTCACGTCAGCTTAGATCTGTCAGCACAGCAGCTCTCTGTCACAATAAAACACAGCAGCAGCCACATCCATGACCTGGAATAATTTGTGATGAACTTAATGTTTTTATAGCATCAAGTATTCGGTGTTTGACAGAGGACTGGGTGGTCAACAGCTGTGCTAATTCCAAATGATTTTTCTTCTCATGCTTTTGTAAAAACATCTTTGCAGACTAATAAACCTCTTGTCTTTACTGCACTCACAACTTGCTCTTTAATTTCCCAAACAAGCAGCCATTCCTGTTTTATTTAACAATTTAAATCACATTTTTATTAGAAAATGATAATTATGGATGTTAGTGCAAATAAGTTTTTTTTTATTTAAAATATTTGTTTTTTGACTAAGCCAGCTTACACCCATTACTTAAAGGTGTGGTTCACCCGTTTAATCGATACATGTGCTGCGGTCTCTAGTAGGAAAGAATGCCTTGTAAGTCATACTCGGGGTACAAAAAACCCTGGTGCGCCTGTTTCAGGATATGGAAGTGAGCCAGATCAGGAGAGAGCTTCAGACTACAGGATTTGGAGTCTTACTTCCTGATATTCGAACATCTCATCCCTGATTGGCTAACAGCAACACAGACTCTGTTTGCTACGTCGATATTTTATCTCCACAAATAACATAAACCTGAGGGAGTTCTGCTGTGTGGTGGAGTTGCTAAGGCTAACAGTTAGCTTCTAGTCACAGGGCTGCCAACTTTTGAACTTTCCATGCATGAGGGAGGAGGGGTATGCGCATGGATTGTGAGAGTGGGGGAGGTGGATTTTCATCAGCGTGAGATATTGGAGGTGTGGCATGAGAGCGTGTGACGAGGGTCAGATGCGTGTGTCTCATGCTCAGTGCATGAGAGCTGTTAGCCCTGTAACCGAGACAAGATGGGTGAGCCCATGAGTGTTGAGTGACACTGTGACTTAGACCTGTCAGGCTTTTCAAATACTAGAGTCTATTTTCTATCAGACGTTAATGCAGGAGACAGGTGTAGGAGACTATTTTCATGTTCAACCTGTGTGGAAAACTCAGAGAGACTGATTATAATCAGAAATAATCAGTGCAGTCTCTGTGCTGTGATGTTGTCTAGAGCCTGCTGGAAACTATCTAGCAGGTTGTTTGTCTCCAAAAAGTGTTTCAGCTGGATCATAACAACTTTTTCAATAGTTTTACCAATGAGAGGGAGATTAGAGATTGGTCATTCATCACTAAGGGGTTTAATTTACTTTTCTTTAGAAGAGGTTTAACAGCAGCAGTTTTTAATGCTTTTGGAAAAATACCTGACATTAAAAAGCAATTAACAATTTTCAGCCAAAATAATAAATAAATAAAATTTTAAAGAAGTTAGTTGGCTGGTTGTCCAGACAGCAGGTAGATGAGTTTCAGGTCTTTACTATGTCCTCCAGTGTTTTAGCACAAATCACACTGAAAGCTGGCCTTCTGGCCAGACTGTTGCTGTGCGGCTGTAGCAGTGGTCTGGTTGTGGTGGTTTACATGGAGGAATGGACGACTAATCTGATGTTTATGATTTTCTCATTGACAAAGGATGCAAATTCGTTACACTTAGTTTAAGATATGAAGTCAGGGTTAAACTGGGTTGGGAGATTAGTTAACCTCTCAATAGTGGTAGCAAACAGAACACTAGAATAGTTAATATTATCACTGATGACTTTGGAGAAAAAGGCTTGTCTCGCCTTATTTAATTCTGAGTTGCAACACGCAACTGCATTGTGGAGCTCTCATAGTGACCTGGTAGGCTATCGTTTCTTTATGCTCACCTTTCTGGCATTCTCTTTTATGATTTGTTACTGATTTAGTGAACCTCCATGGAGCCTTTTTGGGATAAGATCAAAACATGCCCTATAGGTTTGAAATTGTAAGTCGCTTTGGATAAAAGGGTCTGCTAAATACATAAACATAAACACAAGTTTGACATTTTCAGGTACGATAGTGTGAAGGACGTCAAAAGTTTTGCAATTGAAATGATGTAGAAATAGAATAGACTTTATAGACTTTATTGTAATTGCTCATGGCAATTGAAATACAGATGGTCCGCCATCAACAGTGCACAAGACAACAAATGACAATAAATGTCAAAAACCGTAAAGGACTAAAAACAATTTAAAAACGTTTAACAAACAACAAGAAAGTACAACCAGTGATTCGGATCTGCTAAAACAATAATTTAAAATGATTTAAAACAGATTAGTCCACATTACTGATGGGGATGTGGGGGGTTGAATGGTGCTGTTGTGTTGAATGTTCTGACGGCCCAAGGGAAGAAGCTGTTGGAAAATCTGGTGGTGTGTGATTTAACTGACCTGAAGCGGCGCCCTGAGGGCAACAGTTCAAACAGGCAGTGGGCAGGGTGGGTGGGGTCACGGAGGATAGCAGCGGTTCTCTTTAGGCAGCGGGTTCTGGAGATGGCCTCCAGGGATGGCAGGGTGCAGCCAGTAATCTTCTGGGCGGTGTTTATTGTCCTCTGAACAGCCTTCCTGTCCTCAGCAGTGGAGCCTGCATACCACACACTCAGGGAGTAGGTGAAGGTGCTCTCCACGGAGCAGTGGTAGAAAGCCAGCAGCAGTTTCTGATCCAGGCCACGCCTTCTCAAGACCCGGAGAAAGTGCAGCCGCTGCTGAGCCTTTTTAACCAGAGCTCTGGTGTTGGCAGTGACAGTTCACGCCTATGTCTGTGATGGGAACTGCTCAGTGTTTCAGTTCAGCTCTTCAGAAACCTGTGGATGAAATAACAAAATAAAAGCAAGCTTGTTATGGAGTAGATGAGCAGATGGAAGTAAATAGTTTATTTGATGCCCATCATGGTGAATAAGGCACTCCCCTGAATAATGTCACTACAGGGGCAAAAAAATCAAAGGGCAAGTATTCCAGCTGGGTAAAATGGGGCATTGTGGGCTGGTAGCCAATTTAAAATGAATTGGTAAACACTCAGATTGTCACGCTGCGAGAGCAGGAGGATTGGACACAAAATGCAAAACATAACACAACTCAAGGCAGGAGAGGCTGTATAAAACAAAAATCCTTTTATTAGGAAAAACAAAACTGCAGGGCTCTAACCCAAAATATCTAAAGTTCTAAAGACAAAAACTCACTCATCAGCCTACATCTACAGTTCTGTAGAGGCCAGCGCAACGCTGACACAATGAACCGACAAACACTGGAGACACAGACAGGGTTATACACACAGGGCTGGGTGATAGGAGACGAGGAGCAGGTGCATGGGGAATTGGGCACAGGTGAAACTAATGAACTGAGGGAAGAAGCAGAAACAAGCAGGGGAGAAAACCAAATCCTAAACCAAAGCTACTAAAATAACCTGAACTTTAAACACTGTAGAAACAAAGACACCGGGGAAACTAATAAGTAAACGAATGATCTGAAGTGGGGAAGGGAACACACACACTAAAGGAGACTAAAGAACTGAAATCATAAACCAAGAGAAAACTACAGTGGAGAGACTGAGAACATGAGGAAAACCTGGAGGGAGCTGGGGACTGCAAGGTCACAGAACACAGATGGGCTTTGCTTATGTGGGCGCCCTGAAACTGTGACACACCGTGTACGGCTGTGTGAATGACTGTTAGCTCTTTAAAAACATAATACACTAAAAAAGTGAGAAATTGTTTTCAGGAAAATTTCCTAATGAAAATAAAACAATTTATTTTTGCAAGGAGTGTGATGGCATAAATTAATCATATATCAGGTTCTCTGTAGTCAAGTATTCAAAAGTAAGTAAATGCATTTAGTTTGAAGTGTGTTCTCAAATTGTGAACATTAATAAAAAACAAAAACAAAAATATAATATTAACCTTTAATAAATTTTAATCTGGTAATTGTATTGACATTTTCTAATCTTCCCTCGTCTGTCAGAAACTTGAAGGGACCTAGCTGGAAGAGAAGACATTCAGTAGAAAAATGATATGTGCAGCATGAACTGAGATGTGCTTGAAGTAAAAGCAATATTTTTATTTTAAAATGTTTTTACTTGGTGTGCTCATTACTAGACCTGACCTTTAATTTTTCTTTTTCATGTGTTACAATAATGTGCATAATCATAAAATTGACTAGCCTAGTGAACCAGACCAAATTCTTGCTTTACAAATTTAAATAGTATATTTAGTCTGGCTTTCCTGGTTAAAAATAAGCACTTTTTATTAGCAAAAATATCTTTGACTTTTTGAGCAAAATCTATTCAATGTTACTGCAAATTAGAGTTGTAGACAACAGCTCTGCACAAATCAAGGCACAAACTATTTGTCATCATTTTGTTCTAAATGCCATAAGACATTTGAAATAGTTTTCCAAAGCTATTTAATGTTTGTTTCTGCAGATGTTGTCTTTAAGAGCAAGTCACCCCCAAATCAACTTTTTGTTGCTGATAAACTATATAAATGAGTGTCTGATCGTGCTGTAGACACATGTAGTCAATAATTTGGCACTTTAGTGCATCTTAGTTAAAACATTTCCAGTCTGCAAAGAGCACAGTTGAACAGTGGTGCATGAAAATAACAAGTTTTAAAGCTTTACACTGCAGTAAATTGTACATTTTGTATTTGCATAAAGTTTTATCAGCAGCTGAACGTAGCTTCACTTTATTTATGTCATAGTGTTTTGATAACTTGAGGTTATTTTCAGGTTCTAAAGAATGTAATTTTTTCTCACGTAAAAAGAAAAATATAATTTATTCTCACGTAAAAAGAAAAAAAACTCCCCTGAAATGGCCAAAAAAAACATTCCTTTCAATTAGACATTTTGACTGGAGCAGATGGTGTTTTGTAACTTAAAAATGTGTGTGTACAAAATAAGGTATTAAATGTCTCAAAGTAATTAAAGCAGCGTTTCCTCCTCCTGTGCAGCAGGGGGCGCTAAAAACAACCAGTTGTTTCAGTTTTGAAAGAGAACGGCAACAAAAGATTTAATATTGATTTAATTATTGTGACGTTTCTGTTTTGGGGATACACGTTATTTTCCGTTTTTAACGGCGGTTTTGCCGTTTCCGTTTGTGTGCCGTCATGTCGGGGATGGAGCATCTCAGACGGCTAGTCAGCGAGCGGCTAGCGGCTGCTGCTGATGAAATCTTCGGGTTTGTGGAGAAGACAGTCGCGGATTATCAGGAGGAAATCGTCCGGTCCAGGAGCGAAATCATCCAGCTGAGACAGCAGATAGGGCAGCTGACTGTTTTACAACCTCGTGTGTTTTTATTTAAAGAAGGTTGGTAACGTAAAACCCTCCATGAACGCTTCACAACACATTTTCAACAAGCACTTAAGTTTTTAAACTAATAACACCCACAGTAACAGTAAAAACACCAATAAGTACATGTTTCATTAATGATTATTGTGCATATTCTCATTTATATGGTGTTTTAATGTGTTTTAGACCAAAGTCAGCCTCCAGTGGAGGAGAAAAAGGAGACTCAGCAGGTTAAAGAAGAGCAGCTGGATGTCTGCATCATCCCAGACCTGGACAGTGATTCTACAGAGGATGACAAGTTCACACGGCATGACTCAGATCCAGTTACTCAAACAAACTCCCAGCTGTTGCCAAGCAATAGCTCCATCACTGTGACCATAAATGACGATGATGGGGAGTGGATTGGGAATTTAGGCTCTGGTTTATCCCAACATGGCCCAAGTCGTGGTTCCTTTTTCCAGCACGAACAAACCGTGGACAGTAAGACTTGTCGTATATGCGGTTTAACGTTCATGAGGGACTGTGATCTGATCAGACACGTGGAAGAATCTCACTCAGGGCAGAAAGCTTTCAAATGCTCAGAATGTCACAAGGAGTTCACCCGTAAGGACAGCCTGACTTTGCATCTAAGAGTTCACACAGGTGAAAAGCCACACCGCTGTCATTTCTGTGGGAAATTCTTCACCCAGACTTCCAACCTCAGAGTTCACATGAGGAAACACACGGGTGAAAAACCGTACTTCTGCAATTCGTGTGGGAAAATGGTTGCACATTCCTATCACCTAAAGACATGCTCCAGACGTTCTTCAGGTCAGATGGATCTCAGCGGGCAGAGGTCATTGAGCTGATCACTTTGTGCCAAAATCTCCAGCTCTGTGAAAGCCATACAGTCACATGCAAGGCTTTGATCTGACCAAAAATAATTCCTGGTGTTATTCTAAAGTAATATTAGATTCTATTTAAAATGGTGTGAAATGATTTTTACCCCTTAAAGTCTGTATTTAACAGTTGTATGTTTACAAGGTGTAATATTTAATTTCTCCCACAGCTAATTGTTATGTAAATCTTGTTAAATTAAGAAAAAATAATAAACATTTGTTACTGTTGTTTACTCATGAATTAATTTCATTTTCAAAATTGTATTTGTCATTTTAAAATGTAACGCTATGGGATTACTGTTGCATTCAACCAGAACAAGTGCATTTGCACGTGGAACAATAACGTTTGCATGTGCACATTTTTACTCAAATGCTGTTAAGCAACACCATCTTTGAATCTCAGTCAAGTTGAATGATTTATCCACAGATGATGATATTTACTCTGTAAAATAAAGCTATTTTCTGTTCTTTGGAAACAGAATATTTTTCAAAATCCCAAATTCTTCTTTACAATTTCAAGCAACTAAATGATAGTTATTAATATTAAAATGCATTGTATTGGCCATTGTTATCATTTACATTGATGTAGCTGCCTTGGTTTTTCTTGACACTTAACAAGAAGTCTGAATGCTTTGATTGGAGGCTTGTTCTCACATCTTTCATTAAATGAAGCACCAGTTGGATTTATAAGCTTAGTAAATTCAGATATTTTATGTTTTATATCAAATAAAATTTAGCAGAAGGGATAACTTTGCATTTCCTGTTTAGAAACTTTACTGCGGATACAACTGATTGCATTAAGACGTCAAACGCCTCTCATAACATTTATTTGTGTACGCGTGTATCCTTCGTATTTGTATATCAATTATTAAGAAAAAGAAGGGGGAAATAACGTTTTGAACCAAAGGATTCAACGCAGACAGCCATCCTGAACAACAGGGGGCGTTGCAGCAATTTCACCAGCAGCGCACAAACCCAACACGAAAAAGGAAGAACCGGAAGCAAACTTTACGTTTTTCAGCATTAAAAAACAGTAAGTGCCCGTAAAAACACAATTATTTTTGTTATTATTTTGGTTCCTAGATTTTTATTATTTTGTAATTTATCAGAAATAAACGTGCCGTCATGTCGGGGATGGAGCATCTCAGACGGCTAGTCAGCGAGCGGCTAGCGGCTGCTGCTGAGGAAATCTTCGGGCTTGTGGAGAAGACAGTCGCGGATTATCAGGAGGAAATCGTCCGGTCCAGGAGTGAAATCATCCAGCTGAGAGAGCAGATCGAGCAGCTGACTGTTTCACAACCTCAAATACTTTTGTTTAAAACAGGTTTGTGCAGTTATAAAAATCACATCTGCCATTTTAGTTCAATTCAATTGACTTCCGGTAAATATATAGCTTTCTTGAAATGTCTGTATTTACAAAGCATTTGTGTGTGTTTTGTGTCCCAGAGGGCCACGTAGTTCTAGAGAACCAAAGCCAGACTCACGTGGCTCAGCAGATGAAAGAAGAGCCACCGGATGTCTCCCACTTCCCGAACCTGAACACTGATTTCTCTAAGGATGCAACCTTTACTCATCCTGAGTCAGACGCTGCAACTCAAGCAGACGCCCAGCTGTTACCATATGACCACTCCATAACTGTAACACTTAATGATGATCTTGATGTGATGAGGATTGGATCAGGCTCATCCTCATCTGGTCAACATCCTCACCGCGCTGTTTCCTCTCGGCTTCGAAGTGTCAGCTGTTATATGTGTGATTTAGCAGGTTTAAGGGAGTCTGATCTAGTTGAACACATAAAAACATCTCACCCAGGACATAAAGCTTTTCGGTGTAATGAATGCCACAAGGAGTTTAATCGTAAACACCACCTGACTTTGCATTTAAGAGTCCACACAGGTGAGAAGCCATACATCTGCCCTTTCTGTGGGAGATCATTTACGCAAGGTTCATCTCTCACGGTTCACCTGAGGCGGCACACAGGTGAAAAGCCGTATCATTGTAATACTTGTGGGAAGATGGTTTCACACTCCAATCACTTAAAACTATGTTTATTTCGATCTAAAGTCATGGGCACTGCAGAGAAGCCATTTCGGTGTATGAAGTGTGGCAAAATGTTTGGAAGCATTTCAGAGCTAAACATGCACATAAATATCCATAAAGCCTATCAGTTAAACGGCAGCAAATAACCTGCATGATCAGGCCGAGATTGTTGTTGACATTTCCATTTGGAGCTGAGAAAATACAACTAATGTTTATTTAATGATTGAAATCGGTGTAGCTTGTAGTATTACACCATCAGCTCTGTAGCTCTTTGTAAACAAGCAGAAAATTCTGTTGTGTAAAAATTTCAATTTACTAAAAACATTTATATGACAATAGTTGTGTGTCCTGATTGTGTCTCTACAGTTGAGATTAATCTTTTTTTTTTGTTTCTTGTTTAGTTTTGTACTAAGTTTCTGTTGAGTCTTTTTAGCTTCCTCTTTCATTTCATTTTATTTCCTGTTTGTTTTCCTAATATCACACATTGAAATTTGAAAACAAAGGGAAGTTTGCCCGTGATCATCCTTACAATGCTGTTTGCAATGTCCCAATCCAAAATAAAGAAGTTAGGAATTAGCGCTTTGAAATATAAACGAGAGAAACAGCAAAAACAAAACAAAAAACCCAAATACAGAAAATACATTTTGTTGTCAACATTTTAATCATGTGATGCTTTTTTTTTTTAGAAAATACCCCAAAATATACTAATGCTCAGTTGAACAGTAATTAAAATTCTGTGGTTTTACTGATTAAAGGTAAGCAGCTACTTAAAACGAACAATTTTTTATATCAGTAAGTGTTGCTTAATAGGAATATTTTTAATAAATGGCAAACACAAACTTCAACATGCTTTGAGAAAAAAATATTGTTTATAGATTATGATAATATATCTTTAAGGAAGTTTTGACAGAACCAAACACTTTCTTGTTATGAAAGATGTGCCTTGTTATGTTTATAAAAGTTTAATCTGATTAATAAAGATTTGATTTTCTGTTTAGAAAAAAGAAACAAACTGCAATGCTTGATTTCCCCACTAGGAGGTGCTTGTCTATTTCCAGGTTACAAGTCGCTAACAAAGATCGTGTATTTAAAAAGAACGCCAATATTTGATCAATTAAAACGGAGAAAATAACAATTTTATTTCAATGTTCTTATCATTAGGTTGGGTTCATTCTATGATCATGAAATGCATTTAAAGTGCCACGATTTGTTTAAAGTAAACAACATCAGCACAGTTTTTTTAAGCTCGTATGTTGGTTTTTATGAAAGGTGACAGATGGAATTCATAGTGGAGTGAGACATCGCTTTTCATCCGTCCCAAGCTAAACATCTATGAAGAATAATGATGATGGAGAACAGCGCTGCGAAATTTAACAGACTAGGTAAAAATACTGCCAGCAAATGGAAAGTTTTTGATAGTAACATTTAGTCGGTTGCATTTTAAAAAAGTGTCATTTTGTGTTTGTTTCTAAAATCGAGCGATAGAAAGTGGAACTGTCCGTCGTTAAGCTAGCTAATCCGCTGGTCACAGAATTATGAGCTAACGGGATCCGCGTTCCGTTTGTGTTTCTATGGGAGTTTATTCTCTGTCAGTTTACTTTGTGCTGATAATGACTCATCTCTCTAGTTTAAAGCGTTGACTTCGTTGTCATCAGTTTTATTCTTCTGCTCAGGTTAAAAATGGGAGAAAAAGGTAGGAACGTGGTAGTTTTATTCCCTTTACCGAATGTAGCTTTATGTTTTTTTAGACGTGTGTCGGAGTTAAATGAGGATTAATAGAGTCGGTAATCCATTTTCCTGCACTGGCTGCTGTAGGGAAGTTGGTCCTGCATTGTGAAAAGCTTATGATAATCTTCCGGGATCGGTTTTCTGACTGTGGCGCAGGTTTGACCCTTTTTTTTTCTATCAACGAATTCAGACAGTTGAAAAACAATTATAAACGGAGACACGAAGGTTGTTTATTCGACGCATTTATGTCAAACCTCCTCAGCTACCAGTAAACAGAGAGTCTGAACAACAACCAGCGCTGGGATAAAGGAAGTATGTCTAGTGAGGTTTACAATAACTGGAAGTTTGTGGATAATGTAAACAAAGCAGAAAACAGTCAGAATGCCTTGTTGTGAACAGGATGTGGTTGTTTTAAAGCTTGGCTGCAAAGATATGAACCATTCTGTGAAGGAAAGAAGAAAAAAAACTTTTTAAAGACTAATATGAGCATTTAGTGTACACACATAACTCAGAAACACTGTAGAAAGGTCAGTACAAGAAGTTAAAAGACATTTTTTAAATTCTTATGATTTGTAGGCGGTAAAAATCATATTTTGTGGTGATTATTTCTGAGAATGAGAAACTCATAAACACCATTATCACTGGACACGGCAGTAAAGAAAATGTGATATAAGCATGCTCCTGTGTAGAGGTCCAGGTTTGTGTGTCATGTCAAAATCATATTGTTTGCTTGTTTGTGTCACTTATGTGAGTAAATTTTGGCAGTTAGTGCTGCAGTATTTAATTTTTAAATGTCTTTGCATGAATTTGCTGACACAACTTGCTTTACGTTTGGTCTAAACACGCATGCGTGGGCCTGTTTCTGTGTCCTTTTGAGTCTTGCCTTATTTTGAAAGCTTGTCTCATTTCTAACTGACTTTATCGGAAGTTTCAGGCTTTTAAACTGCAGCTACGTCACATTGTTGGCTAAGCCACCCAGCTACCCGATCCAGTTCTGCATGAATTACAAAACAATAGGAAGTGTTTGGCTGATAAACTGAACCACCAGCAGTTCTGATCTGTCATCTATTAAAGACATTACACTTGTTGTTCATCCATTCATGATCCGAGCCACTTCATCCTCAGTAGGATCATGGGGAGCTGGCACCTATCACCAGAGGCCAATGGGTGAGAGGTGGGGACACCCTGGACATGTCTCCAGTCCATCCATCACACACACAGACAAAAACCAATCACACCTAAAGACTCGAGTTAATCTAACGTGCCTTTTTTTAATCTGTAGGAGGAAGCGCGCCCATGCATGGAGAGAACACGCATCCAGCAACATGATCCACTTCTGTTTTGATTTTAAAGTGTTACGGTTTTTTTAAAACAGTAACACTGTAAGACTGTAATATTTTAATATATACTTTTGAATATTTTTATGATTTAAAGTCATCCATCCATCCATCCATCCATCCATCCATTTTCATCCGCTTATCCGGAGTCGGGTCGCGGGGGCAGTAGCCTAAGGCGAGAGGGCCAGACTTCCCTCTCCCCAGCCACTTGGGCCAGCTCCTTCGGGGGAATCCCAAGGCGTTCCCTGGCCAGGTGAGAGACATAGTCCCTCCAACGTGTCCTGGGTCTACCTTTTGGTCTCCTCCCGGTTGGATGTGCCCGGAAAACCTCACCAGGGAGGCGTCCAGGAGGCATCCTGACCAGATGCCCGAGCCACCTCAACTGGCTCCTCTCAATGTGGAGGAGCAGCGGGTCTACTCCGAGCCCCTCCCGAATGTCCAAGCTTCTCACCCTATCTCTAAGGGAGAGCCCAGCCACTCTTCGGAGAAAACTCATTTCGGCCGCTTGTATCCGCGATCTCGTTCTTTAAAGTCATAGTAATACATTATTCAATATTATATATTCAAGTCTTCTTCTGCAAGAGGTTTCATATTTTTGTTGTTGTAAATCATTTAGAACAAATTCAGAGATTAATGAGAGCTGAAGATTGTATACTCTGAGGTGAAGTACAAACAAATACAGCATCTAGGCAGTTGGAATGATGTTATGTCTGAAAAAAGTTCAGTTAAAAGAAATCTAAAACAAAGATAGAAAAAAATAAAAGCTGTTTTTTTAACATTGCATCTCTTGCTTTCTTCCACCAGACACGTGAAGTCTTTGAGTTCTGCTAAATGAATCTATGGAGTCTGACATCATGGTCTCCTGCCACCCCCCTCCACGGGACGGCGGTGGTGACGGGGGTGTGGGGTTAAAGGAGGACGGGTTTGAGGACATTGCTCTGGGGATGGTGTGCTCTCCTCTAGGACTTGCTGATGCTACAGAGCCGCCGTCCTTTCTAAAGCAGACGTGTCCTCCTGCAAAGCCAGCAATTCGTCAGCCAAACTCCAGCTTCAACCCCCCGTCAGAACAAACCCAACTCACTTCTTTGCACTTGTCAAACGGACATGCTCAGGTGGACCTGAAGTCTGTGGCCTTTAGTGCCTCTGTGGTGAACTTCCCCGAGGAGGAAACAGGGTTTGCTGATTTCACTGTGTTCACAGAGCAGTCGGGACACCCCTGGTGCTGCGGCTTCACCGAGCGGTGGGACGGCGAGCATAACGGCACTGGTGAACACACACGTGGTCCAGGACAGGCCTTCGTCGCAGACTCTGAACCTAGATCCCAGCATTCATGTGAGGCAGAGGAGGATGTTTGCATCAACATGAAACACTGTGAGAAAAGAAATGCAGCACTTGTGCAACCACCTCAGGACCACCACCAGCCTCAGGACGCCGCAGCAGCTTTGAGCTTTGTAAAAGCTGGAGAGGAGCAACAGATCTCCAGGAACGCTCCGGAGAGGAGGTGTAGCTGTGATTCGCTTCAAAGAACTTCAGAGAAAGTCCCTCAGACATTCACTGAGGATCAGCTTTCTGATGAACTTGTGTCCTCCTGCTGCGATGACTTTTCCTTTGAAAGTGTCTCTGCAGAGCTGGAACCAAATGTCTCCTCTCTTGTCTCTGGAGATGACCCTACTGATGATGAGGAAGAATATCTGGAGGACAGCAGACATCCTGACACCTTTGTCTACGGTCAAATGACTAACTTAAGCTTGTCTGAGTCTAACCTCCATCACTGCAACCACTACGTGAATCAGGAAACTTCGGCTACCTCCACCCAGTTGCATTCTGGTAAAACCACACTGGACAAATTCCCAAACAGGAATGTTGAGCATCACGGAGACCACAGAGCTGCTCAGACAGCTGATACAGGAGTACAGAACCTGGGGAACCTTCCTTCCAGTGACAGCTTTGCAGACTTCTGCTCAGCGCCCTCGCAGGAGGATGAGGGGGGGCTGTGGGAGGACTTCAAGGACCAAAGTATGCCAATGAAGGGAAAACCCTGCACACGGTTCAGAGAGCCAGCCAACAGCTGTTCTAATGGAAGGAACAACGATAACGAGCTGGAGAGTTTTCCAAAAATTGAGTCGAGGAGGAACTGTGAGGTTGGAAACCTTTCAGCTGCTGCTGCCATCTGTCAGCATAAGACAGTAAAAGCAAAATTCACTTCTACTTTGATTAAAGTTTCTCTCTTCTGACCAGGCTTCACTGTCCGACCGTGTCCAGCAGCTCCTCCAGTCCAGTTTCCCAGAGGTACTGGTCCCAGCGGTTGAAGGTGATGAGGACCTGCTCAATCTTGGTGCTTTACTGACTACCCAGCACCTCACTGAGCATGAGGAGGACAAACCGGAACTAAGCCATGCTCTGAGGTAAAAATTACTATGGCTACAATAACAATTGACTGATATGAGCTCTTAATGGTTTCTGTTAATGAAATAAAGCAGATCAGAGCTGATGGTATTTTCTAAAGTTACAATAATTATGAAGAAAAAAAACAGAACTGCCTATCTTTTGTAAAATCGTAAGTTAAAGGTATGTAAGAATGTGGTGAGAATTTAACAGTGAGAAATCCCAAAAGAGTTTAATGTTTCAGTAATTTTGGAAGGAAGGTTATACTGAAACACATTTCATATCCAGCTGGCTGCGGGGATTGTCAGTTTTTCTTCTTTCAAATTAAAGGAAGGAGGGACATAACTACTGTTTACCATCGGTGAGTGTGGGGTTGTCGTGTCTCGTGCGAGCTAATACTGCAGCTCCTATTGTAATTGGACGACAGCCGGCAAAAAGCTCCAGAGTTGTTTAAAGTGGTTGCAGGAACCAGGTTTTACCACAGGATGTCATTTTTCTTCATTTCTACATAATGCACCTTTAAAACAACTTCTCTGAGGACATCTGAATTGTTACTTCCTGTTTCTTGTTTTCTGACCTTCCATTTGCCACTAAATGTATTTATGTATGAATAGGTAGCACAGGAGTTAAGTGCTCGCCCCGTAATCGGAAGGTTGCAGGTTCGAGCCCCGCTCAGTCTGTCGCTGTCGTTGTGTCCTTGGGCAAGACACTTAACCCACGTTGCCTGCTGGTGGTGGTCGGAGGGACCGGTGGCGCCAGTGCTCGGCAGCCTCGCCTCTGTCAGTGCGCCCCAGGGCAGCTGTGGCTACATCGTAGCTCATCCCCACCAGTGTGTGAATGTGTGAATGACTGATTGTGCTGTAAAGCGCCTTGGGGGGTTCCAGGACTCTAGAAGGCGCTGTATCAAATACAGGCCATTAGGTATATGTGCAAAAATCCTTTTGCTTTTTGAATTGTTATTACTATTCATTTTCTCTTTCTTCTCTACAAATTGAACTCAAGTCAGCTAACCAGTCGAGCAATTACTTTGTATAGGCTAATTTATAATTATTATTTCATTGTAAAAATTTCATTTTAGTTAAAAAGGGGCAGATAACATAAGTTTTCTTCTTTCTGTTCCCTTTTCATTTTCTTGGTTTGAGAAACCTCAATTTATTTGTTAGTATTTTTTTTTAATAATAAATGAAAAAAAAATCGAAATAGTTTCTTAAATCTAGTTCTCAGAACGCATGTCATTTACAAACTATTAGATTTGTGTGATCACACAGCACCAGCGTATTTGCAAAGGCTGTCGTGGCAACATGGGTTTCAGCAACAAACTGCTCATGTAAAAAGGTCTCTTTCACTGAAAACCATGTTGAAATACAGTCGATCACTCTGGGTTTCACGTGCATGCAGAATGTGAAAACTGTCTTTGATCTTATTCCCTGCATTGTGTGCCGAAAGGAAATAAACATGAAAACAGTCTTCAGAAAAGGCCAGTCTCTTCTACGTCACAGAGAAATGAAGCTGTGTTGATTTAGCAGCCAGGAGAGAGCAGAGCACATCTTGGCTTCTAGAAGCTAACCGCTAGCACTAGCAACTCCATAACATGGCGGAGCATGCTTGGGCTTGTGTTATTTGTGGAGATAAAACATCTACGTTGAATTTTTTTACATAAGAAAGAAGAGTGAACAGAGGCAGTGGAAGAGTTGCTTTGCTGTTGGCCAATCAGAGGCAAGATGCCATGAATATTAATGAGTAAGACTTGCAACTACCTCTGAGTGTGGATTGAATTTCTTTTTGATGCTGTTTTGCCTTTCTGATATAATTCTGGATCTGACAAACATTGATTGTAATTTTGAACAAAACCTTTTTGTAATTTGCACACCGATAGTAATATGGGACTGACTTACATAAATGTGCTAAACCCTAAAGAAGGACCACCATTGTCAAAATAAGTAAAGCCCTTAAAACCTTTTTTTTCTGCCAGGATCCAGCAGCAGATGTTGAGGCCGTATCAGGATTTCTACTGTTCTCTAGGCCTCCAGTTTCAGTGGGGAGGTTCTCGTACCAAATCCTCACTGCTCAGGTGCCTTGGTGTGGACACGAGGAACATTGTGAGTTTGTCTTCAGTGGCTTTTTTCAGCAGTAGCTGTCCTAATAAACTGCGACAGGGTCTGATAATGTGATCATCACGCTGCTGACATCATCAAAACATCCTCCAGACGAAGATAACCGACTGACATTGTCTTTTGTTTTTGCGTTTTTGTCCTCTGAAAGATTTGTATGGGCACAAAGAAGCAGCCGGTGACTGTAACTACTTATGCATCTGGTCTGGTGAGTGCTCTGTTGAACATCTTGTTGATAGTGGACTGAACTTTCGAACTCATAGTAATCTGATCAAACCAACCATCACGTAGAAGGAGACGAGACTAAACGTCTTCTAATGTTTCTGTAAATCTAGGCTGTTTTTTCAGGTCTGTAGCTGACTTCTTTGTGTTTACAATCTAGATTACTATTTACAGCCGTGTCACTAACCATTATTTTACATTTTCACCTTTGAATAATCAGCCAGGTAACACAAGAGCCCATCTGTACTGTCATGTGATTTGTTTAACATAAGGACATCTGGATGGGTTTAATAGGAAATACGCGTTAGTCTTTTTATTTTTTTAAAACAATCATTTTTTCTAGGTGCTCCCTTCAAGCCAGCTGGACTGGAGCAGGTCTCAGGAGGGTGCATCCCCTTGCCGACTTCCCCACCCATAGGATTGGAAGTAAAAACTACCAGCCACCTCTCACACGCCTGCTGCTAAAATGCCAAAAATGACCTTCTCACTTCCTCCAAAGCATGTTCTACTTCTGTAATTTCATTATGTGTTTCCCCTCAGCCCATTCAGCTGCCGAGTTTTTGTCAGTAGGTCTATATTTGAGATTGCAACAAATATTATTATTAAAAATAATAATAAAAAGAAAGACAAAACGTTACAGGAAACACGCTGGGCTGCCGCTTAGCTTTTTCTTGTCATCTTGATCTGCTTCCACCTTTTGGAGGATTTATTCATGTTGATGTGGTGACAGCTGGTTTGTTCTAGTGCTTTTTGGAGCCTTGTGTGCTGCTTTAATATTCTGGAAATGTCCGACCTCTGCTGAGACCATCTATAAGACTGACATGACAGCTTCATCTATATTTGAATTTTTTTCTCTGAAAACATCTACCGGTAAATATTTTTGTGTTTTAAAGAGGTTTGTGTGTTTTTATCCAAGCATTATAAAGGCAAAACACTGGAAATGAACACAAAGTATACTTTTCTTTGATTAAAACATGCTCCTGTTTTAATTTCATGTCAACAATAGTACATGTAATTAAGTTAAGCACCTTGATTTCAGAAAAAACGTGATTCCGACTGATCCTAAAACTGAAATGTACCCAAAAAGTTATTAAAATCTTTTTTTGTTAGAAATGAACAAATTATAATTTTATGGAAGTCTTTGTGTCTATTAATATAGCAGGTATACAAATGTGTTATTATTGCAGTTTTTTCTAACTAAAATACAATTGTAATAATTTATTTTTTGATTCTTCTCACTTGCAAAAAGCAGTCGTGATTCACAACAGAAGTGGCTTTCCCACAACCATCATTTTTTGCTGCATGTGTTTATAACATTTTAATACGTAATGAATCCAGATGCCAAAAGATGTGTGGATGTCTAAAACCTGAATAAACAAAGGTTAAAAAGGACATTTAGGGTTTTGGACACAAAGATGACACAAAGATGATGCTAAAAGGTGTAATAACACATGGGTTCAAATAAAAACTGGAAATCCAGTTGTAAATTTGTTCAGATTCCTGATTTATAATTAAATACGCAGATATTTATTTCTTCACTTCCTCAAATACTAACAATTACTAATATAAAGTTAAAATGTAGCCTTTACAGCGATGCGGTGTAGTATTAAATATGAACAGTAGATGGCGGTGTTTTCTCTAGGAGGTTGCTTTTATTCACGAATGAAAACGAAGTGTTTAAAAATAAAAACAAAGCAAACTGATTTAATACGCCGGTAAAATAAAATAACTGAATTTTATATTTAAAAATTTTAACCTCTAAAAATGTATCCATAAAACCGTGAAAATCAAATTTGCTGTCACTTTTCATTTGTCATTTCCTGTTGTGTCTTTCTTTGGGGGTTGTGGGGGACCAAAGCGTTTGCTTTTACTTCACAGACACTGAGAATTTTTTTTGAAAGGTAGTGCCTCTAACATACTTTTAAGTTTACTGCTCAAACTGAGACTATGCACTGCGTTGAAACTTGTAAAAAAGGAAATAAATCAGTAAACCCTCCTTGGTTGTTTTGGGTCCATTTTACTGTAAGATGATTTAAATTGAGTTTTGAAAAACTGTGTCAATCACTCAAGTTTGGTTTAAATACTCCACCTGCTGGTATTCTGTATCTGAATAGAAGGAAAAAGTCCGCTAGAATAAAGTTATCGTCATTTCAAAGCTGCACACAAACATATTTCTAATACTGGTATATGCTTTCTATTAAACTACTGGACTATTTCTATATAAGTAAGGTTTGAGTTTTCTTCACAATTTTTATAATTTATAAAACAATTTTTTAAGACCGATGCCATCCATTGGAATGAACCTATCAATAAATGAGTGACTCAAACGTTTTACTCGGTGCCTTTATAAACGTGTGAGGTTTTATTTTGTTATTTTATTTTGGTAAACGCAGGTCTTCTTGGAGGGAATGACTGTCGTTTTGGTTTAAACGGCTCCGTCACATACCGGATGAGCACCCTTCCCTTCCCCTTCTCGGCCGGGTTGGCTTGTCTTCCTTCCGGGCTCGCTGAAGAAAGTTGAGGGAGGTTCAGCCGCAACTGGGCTTTGACACAATGGACAGCCAGGGAAGGAAAGTGGTGGTCTGTGACAACGGAACCGGGGTAGGTTCATATTCGGGGCTTGGTGTTTAATCGGCTCGCGGATTAATTCAAACGGTTCCCTTAATGTCGAACATTTGATTGAAACAGGAAGTGGAGGCTGTCAGTTAGCTTCAACTGGGCGTGTAGCATCCTAGCTAGCTAATTTTCATTCATCCAGAATTGACTCGGAAATATATCACAAAATGTTTAAGAATGTCAGGATAGGAGTTGTATGTTTAGCTCTTTGAAAAACTCTTTACGAAGCACATATTTCCATATAACGCTGATAATAGCTGCTGTGTGTATTCAGCGGTAACTAAGCTAAAGTATGCTAACTAGCATGCCAGTTTAAAAAGCTGTCTGTTAGCGGCGTCAGTGATTTTAGTGATTTGTTTAGCAACCGCTCGGAGTTTGCACATGCACAATTTCCTCCATCCGACTGGTTAGTTGAACACACTTGGTTTTAGGTCAAATATCTGCCAAAAGCAGCTTGGAGCAACGCTATCTAGGCCGTGTCAGGTAAATAGAGGAACCACTTCTGTGTTCTTCGCCCTAAAATGTTACCTGGCTTTGACCAGCAAATGCTTTCAAATAAAAGACAGTCATTACTGTTTCAGCTGCTCTGCACTTGCACAAACCTGTTATATTTGTTACTGCAGATGTGTTCATGTACATTTTAAAAATAGGGATGGCAACTTCCGGGAAATGTAACAAGAGATACACACGTATTTTTGTGAGAAGCTGTGTTTATTTCACCATTTACTGTCGAAAAAAAGAACGTTATAAGTCAACAGTAAATGTTATCTTGGTAATGGGGTGTTATGAGTAAATGAATTGGACAAAACATAATTTTGGATTAATTAGAAAAACTGTCACATGAATTGATTTGTGGTATAAATCAGCCTTATTAAAAACAATAAAATCCAGGAAGTTGCTAAAACGTAGCAGCTGCAGCAAAACCCAGCAAAATAACTTGTTTTTATTTATGCAGATAAAGAACATGAATATTCCTTTATCATAGGGATTGATGGTTGTTTTTGTAATCAAAGTATTAAGTGTAGCTTTATTTATTCAAAAGGTGACCAGTAGATCAAAGCAGCACAAAGAACTTTGCAGCTTACAAAAAAATAAGGAAGCAAATGGCAAACCTTTTTTTCATTAGGAACACAACATTCAAATTTAAATTTCACTTGATTATTTATTGCAAAAAATGTTTTGCAACCATAAAGAAATAGTAAAAAAAAAAAAAAAAAAAGTCTGTCAAGTCACCTTCACAGAGGTTGGCCAATCTGGGTTTTGCAATCGTTTGAAACCAGGCAGCTGAGGACATGTTTATGAAGCCAGTTCTTCCCCAACTTCCAACCAAATGTTTCTTAGTTGCTACCATCTATACACTTTTTTTTAGTCCATTTTTTGCACTTAAGTTGAAACTTTGAACAACCCACAAGAGAAAATGCACTGGAGGATTTCTGTGCAGCTGTAAACTCTTCACAAACATATAAAATCTTTATTTACGCTTCAGATTTACTCTCTGCAAGAGGTAACGCGGCCGCTTTTGAAGTGCAGGGACTTCCTTATCTAAACATTGTCAGTGGCCCAGAAGGATGTTGCCTCAGCATGTTACTGACTAATAAGTTTTTTTTTTTTCCGGATGTGACTTTTTCCTTGAGCGTTGTGTGAAGCCCAAAAAAATACCCAGCTATGTGTCAGGGTTGAACTGAGAAGTCAGGAGGAAGTGAGAAGAGACAAAACCACAGCTACGTATGTCACAGACACATTTTCAGAACTTTAACACATTCTGTTTCACATCAAATGTGCAAATTCTCGCTTTAATTGTGAAGCTAAAAGCAAAAAAGATAAAATAAAATGCTTGTAAATATACAGGAAAAGTTGTTTGTAAAACATTTATTCTTTAACTTGAATTTATTTTGCTGGTTGGTCTGATTTTTATCAGCTTTTATTTAAAATAATTCAACTTGCTTATCTTTTCCCCCTGAACCAATCCTTTTGTTTAAAAATTTAATTCAGTGCCCATATTTGGATGCAGCTACGACGCTTATTTTTTTTACCTGCAGCTGCTCAAATGACTGAAGCTGTGCTGTTGAATTGTGAACTGACCTAATCACTTCCTGTTTTTGTTGTTTTTAATTCTCTTGTAGTTTGTCAAGTGCGGCTATGCAGGCTCCAACTTCCCAGAGCACATCTTCCCTGCGCTGGTTGGGAGACCCATCATTCGCTCCACAGCTAAAGTGGGAAACATTGAGATCAAGGTATGAACCGGTTGTTCAGACATCCCTGAAATGCTTTAAAATCAGACTTGACAGTTAAATTTTCTCCTTAATAAGTGTGCCATCTGTGTTTACATTTTGATTTTTAAGTGTTGGAATGATCTAGAACAGGGGTATCCAGCAAGTTTTAGTTCAATCAGCAGGTAATTAACAGGCTTCTGCAGAGCCTGTTGAGCTGCTACACAGGTGATTCAACCGCTGAATCAAGTGTGTTGGAGCAGAGAAACCACTAAAACATGCTGGACACTGAAATAGAACACCCTGGATCTAGAACTTCCAAATAAATAGTGGATGTCATTTATTTTAATCCCGATACCTGCCTTTCTCTTTTTGAGTTTTTTCTTCATCATCTTTTCTACCTGCCTTGCTCTTTTCCTATGTTTTGTTCTCCTTCGGTGAAGTAGAATGCACAGAAGATGGTAAGTTTGGGTTGTTGTGGGCCTCCTGTTCATGCCTGCTGCAGAGAGTTGTGAATTGTTATGCTCCAATTGGAGATTTTTATTTATTTTTTTTATAAACTCAGTTTTGATCTGATTTGTTTGCTGATTTTGGATACATTTGAGAGTGTAGTTGATCACAGGGACACAAAGAAAGGCAAATTTCACCTCTGTTCTACAGCATAGAACGTTACCAGAAATGTCTGTGATGAATCACAGGCCAGCTGTTATCGATGGAGTGCTAAAAGAGATCTTGGAGCAGTTCCATTTTCAGGGCCTCTGATCTCATCGTGCACCCTAACAGACAGCTAAAGGCCTACCTCAGTCCTGCTGCAGCCCTCAGCAGAACAGAGATTGAAATGTCAACATCAGCTGGAGCACTTGGCTCCATATGACAAATTTACAAGGTCAGTGTCCATTGCAGATCATTTTAGCTCACCGTTATGCAGCAGAAAATATATTTTTAAAAGCAATGATCAGTAAAGATTGAAGTCTGCACTAATATGTCACCTTTAAGTGCAGATGTGTCTGTTTAAGGGAGATGTGGCTCACAGCTTTGAGTCAGCAGCACATCTGTTTTGTTTTTATTAAGACCATACAGAGGCGATGCCTGTGGCTGATACTTTGTTAATGCCAAAGCACACACGATGAACCCATAAAATGGCTGCCTTCAGTAGGCTTTTGATGTCTTTGCGTGGAACGTGAGATGCTGTGGCTAACGCCGACTTCTAACTCGGCAGCTGCTGCCTTCGCCAGGCTGCCTTGCATGTGGATGTTTGAATGGGAGAATAAAAAAACTGGTTTGCTGTTGCAGACGGGAGTGTTTCCAGGTGTAAGTGCATGGTAATAATGCCTTGGAGTGCATGCTGGGTAATTGAGTTTTAAAATAGAGTGCGGCATTTGATAGATGGTGGACGATTTTGTTAATGAAGCTGACAAAAAGGAAAGGTGCTAAGTTCTTGTTCTATTTGAGTGTGACTGGTTTAAAAAGGGTTTCACTAAATCAGTCTTGATTTACCTTTTTTTTTTTAAGTGTTTCTCTGTCCTTCCTCCAGGACCTGATGGTGGGAGATGAGGCCAGTGAGCTGCGCTCCATGCTGGAGGTGAACTACCCCATGGAGAACGGCATAGTCAGGAACTGGGACGACATGAAGCACCTGTGGGATTACACCTTTGGCCCTGAGAAGCTCAACATCGACTCTCGCAACTGCAAGATCCTGCTGACAGAACCTCCCATGAACCCCACCAAAAACCGGGAGAAAATCATTGAGGTACTCTAATTAATGTGGTCTTTTTATATGTTTCAAAGCTATTTTTAAGTTGCCAGACAGAGGAGAAAGTGCTTTTGTGAGTCACTTAGCAGGTTTTTAGGACAGCTTAAAGCAGCTAATTGAGAGCATTAGAATTTTTAAAGCAGGTTATTTCTTCTATGGTTTCTGCAGTGTGTGTGGTTGTGCATGGCATTGCAGAGTTGATGTTTGCATCTGTAGACTTAACAAACGTACCTCTGTATTCCTGTCACAGGTGATGTTTGAGACCTACCAGTTTGCAGGAGTCTACATTGCTATTCAGGCTGTCCTGACGCTGTATGCCCAAGGTAGGAAGACTTCTCTTCCAGCTCCGTTTCCTTTCTTGTTCAGAAAACAATATGAAGTTTAGTAATTAAAAATAGCATTCACTTTAGCTTCTACCCTGTCCCTGTTTTTGGATTCTAGTCTCAAACCGAGACATTTGTTCATGTGAGCAGGAATTTTACATAATTCTATTAAAGGAGACATTCATTCATTTTTTAAACACAAGTGAAGGTGTGTGTGTGTGTGTGTGTGTGTGTGTGTGTGTGTGTGTGTGTGTGTGTGTGTGTGTGTGTGTGTGTGTGTGTGTGTGTGTGTGTGTGTGTGTGTGTGTGTGTGTGTGTGTGTGTGTGTGTGTGTGTGTGTGTGTGTGTGTGTAGGCCTCGTGAGTTGTTTTCTGGGGGTAGGGCTCTGGTGCTCCTGTTTCAGGGGGTCGAAGTTTGTCAGAGGACATCATTTGGAGTCTTACTGATATTCATGATGTGCAGATATCTGTCCTCTGATTGGCTGACAGCAATGTGACTCTTCTGCTATCCCTAGGGCTGCTCGATTATGGCAAAAACAATAATCACGATTATTGTGACTGAAATTGAGATCTCGATCATTTAGGACGATTTTTCAATTTATGTTGATTTTATTTGTTTTTATTAAATCATAAAACTGCTCAGGGCACAATCAGGACAAAAATAAATAAGAAACAAGATGATCACTAAAATAACTCCTGATTCCCAGTATAAAAAGACCAATAGACTTATAGCTCATAGTTTATGACCCAAGGGCTATAGACCTTGGTTTAACTCATTTAAGTCTAACCAGTACAGACCCAAATACCAATATCTTGCAAATACTGACAGCAAGAATTATACAGTGGCATTTATAACAAATAAATGCAAATAAATTGATGTTCACAAAATGTTGCATAACATTTATTGAGTCGTGTCAAGGTGGTGTAGGAGAGTGCACTAGCACCGTGTCCTCAGAGAGATTAGTTATTAGTTATCAGCGTGAGGAACTTATTTCTACCTTATTTATAAACTATTTAATTACAAGTCGTCCATCAGTTAATGTAATAATTGTCCCAACCACAGCTGCACCCCCACCCCCCAACCCGGTCTCACCGCAATCAGTGGCAAGCTGCACGTGTGTTTAGCGCACCGCACGTGCACATGTAGCCGTTTTTAGCGGCTCAGGAGTCCGCAGGTGCGGTGTGTGTCACTCTCACTCTGGTTAATCCAACAGAGAGCCGGCTCTGAGAGCTGTTTCTTTAGCGACTGACACATCACTACATCATTCCCTTTCCTAATGTCCTGAAGAACGTTCCGGAGCGCAGGCGGAGTGTTTAGCTAACCTGCAGGAAATGTCGACGACAGTTTTCCAGAAAGTAGCTAAGGGTTACCAGAGATGTTTGTGAGGTGTTCGCTAGGTACTTTTAAGATTTAAAAAGTCAAGAAGGGGGTCTGAAAAGCTGCTAGAAATAGCATCAAAGTCGCTAAGTTGGCAACACTGGGGGAGGAGCGCTTCATTTGCAACTCAGGGCAGCACAAGTGGAAGGAGCAAATAATCGGCTTGTTTTGTTTTTATAATCGTTCAAAACTCGGATCGTAATCGTGATTAAAATTCGATTAATTGAGCAGCCCTAGCTGTCCCCATTCATTCTTCATTGGGTAAAAGATGAAATGTTGATGTTTCAGCTCCACATATGATATTAGCCTGAATGTGTTCCACTAATGTTTTAAAGTCGCTAATGCTAACCCCTAATTCACACTGGGTGCGTCTGCGGCGCATTAGAGCAGCAGAGTGGTGTACCTGCTACACTTCACACCAGCAGCGAGTCAGACACGGAGCAGCTCGGCTGTGATCCGTGTAGTTGGACTTGTGAGATCATGAAATCAGAGGAGAATTACCGAATGCTTTAAATGAGCGGGTTTTTTATGTAAAGTTTTTTTAAACTCGCTGTTCACTCCCATAATTGTTATTTGGGTCTGTGCCTTCTCCTTTTTGTCATCTTTCTGAAACGAAAGTGTGGTGTCATAAATAATGTTGTGATTCTCCACCACCAGGAAAAGCCTTGTCCATGCTGAAAAACACGCCGTAAAAATGGCTGGAAGCAAAAGAGCTGTTCAGTCTTTAGTAAAGGGCCGTGTGCGGCCCCCGAGCCCCCCTTTGTGGGGGTGTTTGTTTTAACGTGGCCTTCGGCCATTTATATTTGAGTGCCCCTGGTTTACATAGTGAAGGAATCATAACTCTGAAACAGTCTTTAGTGGCGCGACGGTGGCACAGGAGTTAAGTGCTTGCCTCGTAATCGAAAGGTTGCAGGTTCGAGCCTCGCTCAGTTTCTCACTGTCGTTGTGTCCTTGGGCAAGACACTTAACCCCTGTTGCCTGTTGGTGGTGTTCAGAGGGACTGGTGTACTGCCCTGGGGCAGCTGTGGCTACAATGTAGCTTCACCACCAGGGTGTGAATGTGTGTGTGAATGGGTGAAAGTCTGTGTTGTAAAGTGCCTTGGCGGGATCCAGGACTCTAGAAGGTGTTATATCAAATACAGGCCATTTTATTTTGAAATTTCCTGGATGCTTTGTGTGTGATTTCCTGTCGAGCCCTATGTCTGGGAAAGGTTCTGCAGCATCTGATGCAGGACTACGAAGTTTCTAAACAGCTGATTTCCTCATGTGGAACATGAAGGAGTTCTAGTTTTTGGATCTTCCATGTAGGTTATTTATTGAATTTAGTTTTTGCTATCTTGGAGATTTAAAGATTTTACTATTAGTACTATTTACTATGTTACCATTTATTCTTTTCAGTTTTAATTTAGTTTTGTGCTGGTTTGTCTGTGCTGCATTTGTTCCTGGACACTCGCTGTACAAAGGAATCAGAAACTGAATATAAACTACGGCGCTTGAAGCGTCTCTGAAGAGCGTTGAGGCCAAAACGGAACCCAATCCCATCTTTAGCAGCGTGGTGAGACACGACTGAAACGTTCCGCTCTGCGTCTGGTGTGAGTCACGCCATTGACTATAATGGTGTCTATTGGAAGCAGAGACATTTGCACTGCAGACTGGGCCTGTGTGGTGTCTAATACCATCTAGCTTCCTCCAGTCTACCAAGGTGTACGGTATTACAGGGACTAATTTAAAAACGGTGACGTTAGCAGGTTTGGACCCGCACCGTTCAGAAACTCAATAACAAACACTATAAAACAATAACAACATAACACGCATATTAACAACTTAAAAAAACACAGCTTATAAAAAGATTTCACATGAAAAACCAACACGTTTACCTTTTCCGGCTTCAACATAAGACATTGTGGACAGACTGCTGAAGACCCGCTTCGATGAGCTTGTGGCACCGACATACGGGTACTTAGGGGCTAGTCGCGACATCGGTGGAAGGCTGGCAGCTTATTTCCTCCAGAAAAGTGTGTTGTCTCTTTTAATAACGGCCTCCAGACAGAGGTCTGCTATTGCAGCTATGGCTCGCACCTCTGCTGTGCTAACGGGGCGTGCGTCTTTCGCTGTCACCTTTTTTTTTTAAATTTTTTTTCTCAAATTAACTCATCAGTGTTTACCGGCTCTCCTTTTAAGTTAGCTTAAACACTCCCAAACTACAGAAGTTTTGTTGTTGCGAGTTGCCATTTTTCTCAGTGTGCTGTCTCAGCGCGTGATGATCAGTCATAAACTTCATGGAACGTCTCTAAAATTTGGACAAAACATTTGAAACTATTTAAGTAAAACTCCTACATTTTTTATGACACATTTGCTATTTTTTTCACACCAGCTGTAGCTATACGGTAATACCGCCCAAGTCTACCGCAGACTTTCCTGGTGTTAATGGGAGTAATGGTTAGCTTCTACCTGCCAAAACACGCTCTACTGTCTCCTGGCGGCAAAATCATCACAGCCTTCTGCAGCGGTTAGCCACGGTGGGCGGCGCCACGAATGCTAATTTTTTCTGACGTGGTAGAGACGGGCTTTTTCTTACCGAACGTTTTCCTGTCACTTTCCTTTCTTAGGCAGGCGATGGGGGTTGGAGGACATTTTCCTAATCTGCATGCATATGCAGCTCAGAGTGACCGATCGTATTTCAGAAGTGTTAGTTTCTCAGCCAGTGAGGCCTTTAAACACTGGATGATATGTGTGTCTAACAAGAAAAGCTAAACTGCCCCTTCCATCATTTTCTAACTGGGTATTTATCAGTAGTAGTAGTAGTTCTAGTTGTTGTTGGATGTTCTTATCCCAGGTTCAGTTGTTTATCCATATTTCACTTGTTCATAAACTCACCTGTATGACTCAGGCCTTCTCACTGGTGTGGTGGTGGACTCTGGCGATGGTGTGACGCACATCTGTCCCGTTTATGAGGGTTTCAGTCTGCCCCACCTGACGCGACGCCTGGACATCGCAGGCAGGGACATCACCCGCTACCTCATTAAGGTATCCAGTGTCCAATCGCCTCATGAGACGGCTATGAAGTTTGATATTTAATCACCTTCCTCTTCTTTTCTTTTGTGTCTGGATGCAGTTGTTGTTACTGAGAGGTTACGCCTTCAACCACTCAGCAGACTTTGAGACGGTGCGCATGATGAAGGAGAAGCTGTGCTATGTGGGCTACAACATCGAGCAGGAGCAGAAGCTGGCGCTGGAGACCACCGTGCTGGTGGAGTCATACACGGTAGTGGACACAATCACGCATGCTGTCCTTCATTACAGCACAGAGAACGGAGGTGTGGGCGGAGCTTTGCGGCCAGATGTTTCTCTTTATATTAAATTAAGTTCATTTTGTGTCTGTTGTAAACTAATGTTCCCTCTTTTTCCTTTAGGAAGACGATCGTTGTGTGTCTCTGTAGTTTTAAAAGATCAGAAGGAACACTAAACTTGGATTTGATGTATAATCTGATATTTATGACCATGATTGTGATGAGGCTGGGGTAAACGATTAAATTTAAAATGATTATTCGGGCCATTATTTTAATCAAAGTCGATTATTATAATGAGAAATTAGATGATTAATCTATTTTTCTGTTGCACGATTAATAAAAACCATTAAATCTCAAATACCCCCAAAAGTTTAATAAACTGGTACTGTAACAGAATGAGCTCTACAGGCCTTCCATTTTGTAAAACACAGCTTTTATTTAGCTGTGGTGGGTTGTGTTCTGGTGACATGCAGAGCTTAGGAGTGCAGGCTGCTGAGCCTGAGAGGTGGGCGGAGACAGTTTTGTTCTCCATGCTGCTTTGTTTTGGTCACTCACGTGTGAGTGGTGTGTGGTGTTACGGCCCTTCCTGGGGGTTTGGCTCGTGTGCATCAAGGAAGGGCCAATAACACAAGATTTAAAAGTTAAAATGATGATCAGGTTTATTTACTAAAAAGATCAACTCTAAACCAAAACGTAACGGCTTCTCCAAACACAAGAAGCTGTTAGCAGAAATGCTAACAGTAGCTTTATCAATGTTAAGCACAAGTTAACAAGTTTAAAAATATCCCAGCAAACAGACCAGCATGGAGGAGAGACTGCCACCACAAAAACGTCTCTCCTCGAATGTCTGAATGAAGTTCCCATATGAAGGGAGAAGTGCTAATCCTGATGATTTCCTTCATCTGCGGTAGAGACAAAGTAGCGGCTTTGACCCTGGAAATTGTTGTCCGACGTGGAGAAGAGGACGGACTAGAGGAAAAGCAGGCAGAATCCTCCCTACTCTATTTATGAACCCCTGGGGACGCAACAAGTGGGTGTGGTGCACCAACTACTGGATTTTACCTCAACGATTTTTAAGAACCGAGTCGTCTACGTCATTGAGGCCTCGCTACAGCTCTAGATTGTGAAACATTTCTTCGCCTGGGACAAACTAGTGTCTCACTTTGGCCTCATGGAGGTTTTTAAGGTGATTCAGGGATGGTACATGATTAAAATAGCTAAACTGAAAGTAGGTTTTTTCATTATTTTAATACTAAGCTATGTGGACGATGTGAAAGTGATTGTTTTTATAATGAACTGCTGCCCTCTGTGGGACAACATGCACATTAAACACTCGGCAACAATTAAAAAGAAGAGAAATGCAAGAAGGATTGAATTAAAACTCAAAAGTGGAAAATAATTTTTCATCTTTAACCAACATCCGTCTCCTTTAGGATGCTTTTAAGGACTCTAACAAGCAGACTGCTAAAGTCCCCACTGTCCGTGTTTGTTGTCAGCCACGTGGAATAAAAGCACAGGAAAGTGCAGGAATGAATAACGCCAGTACTCTTGGTACAGATGGTGTTTTAGAAGGCTTGTTGGTAACTAATCACAGTTGTTTAATCTGTATGAGAGCTTTTACTTCAAATCTAAATGTAGTTTTCTCCATGTATGCAAAGGCTTCATATTTCTGCTTGACACCCGATCACAGTTAGAAATATTCCTGAAAGCATCCGTGTCTGAAGTTTCCAGAATGAGCTGAGGGGACTTGCACCTTGCTGCCTGCTTGGAGTCGTGCTAGCACAGCTGAGGAACTGTTTTCTCTGGTACTCAGACAGATGGGCGTGCAGTTCTCCACCATCAGACTTGCTTTTCTTTCCACGACCCTTTTTCCCGTCAAAGGGAACCACAGAATCTAAACGTGGGTCCTGAAGTCTGTGTTCCTGCACGCCTTTCTGAGCACATGTTGTGTCTCGGAGCTCTGTGACCATGTGTGTTATGGTTAGTGTAGGCGAGTGAGCCGAAACAAGGGAGTAATGTGACTGTGGCTGAAGGGCCCTGAACTGCGTTGCATCATTTCCTGTGCAGCCACTCTGTGGCGTGGCTGGGCTCTGCTTCCACCCACTGCCCTCTGCTGAATGAAGCCTTTCTACAGGCAGACACTCATCCCACACAGCTCCGAGCTGCTGTTCAGTGTCAGTAGGCTGTTAAAACATTTCCACCTGCAGGAGAAACATTTTAAATGATTCGTTTAAATCAATTAGACCCTTGAGCGCCGCGGTGCGTTAAACCCAACCTCCTCAGTAACGTTAAACTTTTTTTATCCGCTCTCTTTTCATCTCCTTCCTCCCACACATCTCCAGCTGCCAGATGGTCGTGTGATCAAGGTGGGAGGAGAGCGGTTTGAGGCCCCCGAGGCTCTGTTCCAGCCCCACCTCATCAACGTGGAGGGTGTTGGAGTGGCCGAACTCCTCTTCAACACCATCCAGGCAGCTGACATAGACACCAGGTGAGACCAATAAGTGTCTGCTGTACAGTCTGAGATGAGACGGGAACAATAATAAATGCTTCGCTCCTTAACACACAGCGTGCAATGAAGGGATTATTATCAGACGGCACATTTTATTTAACCAGGTAGCCTGATTAATGGGTGTCTGTTTAGGCTTGTTAATTAATTAAATTTAAATGAGGGCATGAAATCATGCAGACATTTAAATGTCTCTTCCTGCCGTCCTCAGGCCCGAGTTTTACAAACACATCGTGCTGTCTGGAGGATCCACAATGTACCCGGGCCTGCCGTCCCGGCTGGAGCGGGAACTGAAGCAGCTCTACCTGGAGCGCGTCCTCAAGGGAGACGTGGACAAACTTTCGGTGAGAAACTTGACTTCACACCTTTTCTTTAACAGACTGTGGTGAGAGAGCTGGAGCTAAAGCTGCGGTTTGTCTACAAATGTATTTCCAGCTGGAACAAGTTTAACCTGCCAGTTATCAGGTTTAAAACCAAAATCTCTAAACCAACCTTGGATTTACCATCAGTCTTTTATTTAGTATCGTTTTTAAATGTTCCAGTCAGGTTTAAATGATCCTACAAACGTTATATCTGAACCTGTATGGAAAGTAAAGCTTCAGTAAAATCAGTGTTAAGTTAGAACCCAAGTGGTCTGTCTCTAAATAAAACAGAACTTTAAATTTAAAACCAACCTAGAATCTCTTTTGATGCTGTGCAGCCAAACCACCACCAGGTGGTGCTAAAACGTAGATTACCTCCATCTTCATGTGGCAGATCAGTGGAATTACAACCAACAGGGATTCATTTACTATAGATTTGCTTTGGAAAATGTTTAATAGTGAAACATTGTTATATGCTTGCCTTTGGTGGTCATTTATCTGTAATATTTAATAATTATCATTAAAATAAGTCTTTAAAAACACAAAAAGCATTCAGAGTGGTATATATTATCCTCCGGCTGAATTATTGCAGCCTTGAAGTGAACTTGATGTAAAATCTCACACACTCTGTTGCCATTGTGTGAAATTTTAGTTTAATATCAGTGAAACGGATAATAGTTTACAAATTTTGATTAGCTGTGGCGGCCTTCTTTAATTAGCTTAACTCTATAAGCAAACGTGCTTTAGATGAACATGCAAAAATGCAAAAACTACAGATGAATTAAGCACAAACTCGGGTAAAAACATTATCATCCACGTTTAAACTTTCTGTCATTGGATGATGAGAAAAATAAAATCATAGATTATGGATAGAGCTGTCTCTCTTTAGCCAACCACATTCCTCTACCAGTAAGTCCAGTCTCATCGTGGAGAAAATGTATTCTTCCTGGAAAACTGGTTTCTTATTTTACGAGACAAATCGTGATCCTGTTCACATAAATCATGTGAATAATTAGGAAAGGGTGATTTTGTAGCCTCTGAGGCCTTTTCTCTGGTGTCACACTGGTGATACTGGGCTTATGTCCTGCTTTCTTTGTCCGGAGGTTGAGTTTAGATGCAGATCTCCTTCACACGCATCAGAGCAACATAAAGACCTTGAGTGGGGAACACTCGGCTGCATGATGAACTTATTATACGCCTCCGTGTTCCCTCTCTTTCACAGAAATTTAAGATCCGCATCGAGGATCCTCCCAGGCGAAAGCACATGGTGTTCCTGGGCGGAGCCGTGCTGGCCGACATCATGAAGGACAAGGACAACTTCTGGCTGACTCGGGAGGAGTACCAGGAGAAAGGAGTCCGCGTGCTGGAAAAACTCGGAGTCACCGTCAGATAAAGCTCCGGACGGACAGAACACACACACGCGCGCACACATTCAGACACAACACATGAAAAAACAAACACACATTTTTCCATTCATCCTTATTGCAGAGTTTAAATCTATTTATCCCCTTTCTACGTTGTCTGGCTCTTGATCCTCAAACAACCAAAGGAATCGGGCCTTCTCCTCTTCCTGCTCCTCCTCTCTCCCCTCTCCTTTTTGAGGATCGACTCAGTTTTTCTAGCAAGCCTCCAGAAGTAAGTTCATGCTTGCAGATTGCCAGTGAGGTATTGTTTTGCTGGTGGAAATGGTAAAAACCACACGGGGAGCTGAACACCTGTGAGCAGATTGCGTCGCTCGCTCGTAATTTTGGCAGGTGGAGCCTCCAGCTACAACCGAAACAATTGGCTTCCTTCTCCAACTTTTAGTGGAACGTTTCAAACTCCTAAAGTCCCAATCACAGCCCGTCAGAACCAGCCACGGCCGCTTTCAGCATCTGTTCCAGGTGAGCGAGAACTGATCACGTTTTCATGTCTTTTTTTATAAATGATACATGACTTGTGGGTGAGGGATTTTTTGCGCTTTTCTTCTTTTGCTGGATGTATCCTAAATCTGATTTTTTTTCTCCAACAACTTGTTTTTCCCCTTGTTGCTGTGCACTGTTGTTGTGAATGGAGTGCATCTGGTGACATGAATTCCTTCATATTTTATTTTTCTGATTAAAAACATAAAAAGAACTAATGGTTGATTCATAAAGGGACAAATACACAAAAGCCCCCAAGCTTGACATGGAGTGTGTGACGGTACGTTTGGGGTTAAGCGGGGTGGTGACACGGTTGATAACATGAGGGGGAGGTTACTATTTGTTGTTCATCAAACCGCCTCGCCTCTGCCTCCTCTCTGGATGGAGGGTTAGGAGCAGACTGTGGCGTTCCCAGATCCAGAGTCTGGAGGCCGGTTGAGGATTTGATTTTGCAGCTTAAAGAAATAAAATGATATCCTAATAAAGTTGAAATGTTGTTAAGAACCATATTTAAGTTCTCCAGTCTTTGACTCCCTGGCTTGACGCTCATTGGAGGCACTTTGATAAATGTGTATATTTTTTTTTCTTCTTTCCTTGAACGTCTATCCAGTGCCAAGTGCAGTTGTTAACTGGATCTAATGTTTCGTTGTCTTTCTTTTTGTCAGTTTGTTTTTATTTTCCTGTGTTCATAGCGTAACTGCCTAACGCCGATTTAAATAAAGAAAAGTGATTTATAAGGATGGTTTTGTTGTCAGCTCTTTATTTTTAGGCACATTTCTGCTGATTGTCCTTTAAGACTAATTATTAAATTATGAGCAGTTTTAGTTAGAAAGTATGGAAGTTATTTGCATTCACGCAGGAGGGTATGCAAAACCGAGGGCTTGTCCACAGAGGACTAGATCTGTGCTCGTTGACCAGGAGGAGGAAGAGGAAAGGGAACTGTGACAGGACTGGCGCCAGCAGAGGAAGAGGCCCTTTCCGTGCCTGAAATAGAGATCTCTTCCGACTTTGTTCCATTTTAATCCCTGGACTCTCGACACTTCCCTCGTAACCTTGAACTGTTACCTCCAAGGTTTCGTTAGACGTTTCTGCCACATCAGTGCAAACGGGCTTGGGCTGTCGATGCTGACTGTGTGTTAGTTTGATATTAAAGAAAGCACATCTGACTTTCCCATGATGAGTTTGCTCATTTCTAGGAGGAAAACTTAAAATGAAGGCAAATTTAAACTTCTGAATAAAATCTATTGAGGGAAGTTTGATTTTAAAATGGTTGAATAATATCTGCAGTTTGAACAAATACGATTTACTAATTTGACATTTTAGGCATCTTAGAAGTTACAAAAAAAAAAGGTTAAAAAGCATCCTGGGGTTTGGTTACTGTACTTTTATTTCTGCAACATGCTGCTTCACTTTTGTAATTAAATGTTTACCTGACATAAAGATGAGAATGTAGCATTAGTGATGCTTTAATGATTAAACTCAAAATCCTGTCTGTCTTTGGACTTCTGGCAACTTGCACATTTCTGCAAACCGTGGAGGGAAGTGAGCGCTGGTGCACCCAGAGAGGGGCCATGTTGACCCCATTACACAAGCAGATATCTTAAATGTTTGCACATGTGGACTGTGATGCTGTTTGCAGCCGTTGAGCTGCTTAGCAGGCCCCCAAAAGCCCTGAGGGACCCTCTTTCTCCTCTCGCGCTCTCTCTCTCTCCATCATTATCGCCCACATGCTTTTCCAGAGACATCCTGAGTGAAACGATTCCATGGCCTCGATGGCTATCACATGTTCCAGCTGAGGAGGGAGGCAGCTGGGGAAACATCTTGAAAAGAAGACAGTTGTGTACCAAGTACCTTTGTGCTTTCTTACTTTCAATTAAAAAAATTCTTCTTTTCAGATTCGCTTTGCTACGGGAATCGATGCCGTTTGAGGAAATGGGTTGTTTTGCTTTAGGGCTAATGTAGTTGTTTAGCATTGAAGTTGTTCGTGAATTTATAAGGAAGTGTTTTCAGTGACTAGGATCAGATGAGATTTGAGTTGTTGTCCTGTTTTATTTAAAACACACCATCAAAAACATGTGTTGACATGTCTAAAAACTCTAAAATCCTGATTTACTTCAAGAGTAAAACCTCTTACAGTCTTCAATGCCACCCTGTCCACGGCAGATTTTCACAGTCATGCTGGACTGGAAGAGATTAAAGAAGAAAAGCTCTGAATGAGCGTTGATCTGCTGTTCGACAAACGCTACAAGGAGAGTTCAGGAGTGTGATGAAATATGTTATTCTGATTAAAACAAAACAAAACTTGCAGTCATTTTGTAGACAGAAAAAAAAGACCAATCATGTTTTAGAAATTTGACTATAGGTTAAACATGGCGGTGGCAGCATCATGGTTTGAGCACTTTTGAAATGAGTTAAACTTGTTTTGAAATCCAGTTTTATTTTGGATCAATGTTTCAGTCTTTTTTCTTTAAACCTCACAGAATGAAAAAGAAAATGAGTAATTTAGCCTCTTCCTCCTGCAGAGCTGGTGACCCAAGGCCAGACTCAAGTTAAGCACCAATTCACATGTGGTGGTTTCTCTGTGTTCTCTCATTTTATTAGAGGCAGAAGGTAAGACACACATTTCACTTTAGTTTTCTCACAGACCAAGCCACTCCAGTATCTACAAAGCATTTCCTTTTCCTTCTCGAGAGCAAGAGCTACATCCATCGTACATGTTAGAAACAGTTATTAAAAAAAATAATAGAAATAAAAATGTACAACATACACTTGATATATATAATTTTTGCTCTTTTCTTTACAGAGGTAAAAATAGTAAGTGTAAAAAATGGATCCAATTTAGTACAGAGTGATTTCTCAAATGTTTTTCATTTTAAATTTAAATACACAACGAGATAATGATGCTGCATTCAGGCACTTGTAAATGGCTCTGACGTGTGAGATCACTATTAAAACGAGACAAAACGGAGATAAAGGAGTCGCATGCACGCACGGTCCAATTGGATTGGCCCTGTCCCTGATACACAGCACCATCTATGGTTCTGGTTCTAACAGAAAGGTGTCAGGATGTGACAGTAGCTTTGGATCAAGGAGAAAAAGGGGGGTTTGAGGACGCACACCCACACACGGGTGACAGACGAGCGGGACAGGATGTGTGAAACAGACACAAAGAGGAAAAAGGACATCCTTGAGCATTCTCTATTTTCTACAGTAATGGACATTTCCTTGGCAAAACAATCGGGCTTTAAATGTTTACAGATTTTCAAATGTGTTTGGGACTTCTCGTCTTCTCCCAGGAATTCCACTGACATCCTGCATCTTTTCATCTTGAAAAAAGGAAAAGCTTATTGTGTTCCCTGCCACATGTCAGCTTCTGCCCCCCGAGAGGTGGAGGTGAGCGTGACGGGATGGCTGCAGAGATCTTTTTGAGCTTGTAAACCAGAACTCCCTGCGCGCAGTGGGAAATTTTCTGTTTCTGTTTTAATTCTGCCGAGGCATCTGCCTTTACTCCTTTGAGCTTCTGATGATGCACCAAATCTGGCACGGGGGGTGGGGTGGGGGGTAATGCTGCAGGGCTGAGATGGATAGCACACGCCGGTCACATGTGGCTCCAGCCAGTTGTTTCTCATTTTCAGCAGAAAATTTTGGTCATAAAAGAACAGTTTGACTTTCTTTAATAATGTGGTGCAATTATGAAGCTATTATTATTATTATTATTATTATTAATTACAAAGGGAAGGCAGCTCAATCCTGTTCAAAGTTACATCAAACAAAAAAAAAATTAAACAGAGTCTACATGTCAATTTTTTTGTGGAGCTTCACTGAAATATCATTGACCATTAAGGGAAGGGCCCCTTAAAGTCCTTTTCTTTGCCCTTTAGGTGGATTTAATTAACATTTAACATAATTTATCATCAATTCATCTAAAAGGTCTGATTTTTACTAATGACATATTTTCTCTTTTTCTAGTTCTGATCTGTAAAAGTGAATTTCTATGGAAATGTTAACATGTATTACCTAACAGGTTGTGGGTAGCTCTTTTGAACAACCTCGGGTTAAAAAACTGTGATTAGTTCTGACTGGACTAACGAGCTGCAGGCTAGTCTGAGTGGAGCTAGTTAAACTTCACCGACATCACATTATTTCCATGGATTCTGTTTAATTAGCAGCAGAGTTCCCAAATGGCTGGAATTTATCATTAGTTCTGTAGGAATAATGACTTTTAGGGCAAAACAAACATTTAAAGAGCAAGTCAACCCCTACCAGAGTCTAAAGGTTGGTTTATGCTTGACGCGTCCGCGAGGTCCGCACGGCTCCGCGCGGAAAAGTTGCGTCATTTTAACAACCACGCCCCTCCACCGCGTCTCCGCACGGCCCAAGACTTCCGCAAAGCGCACCTCGGAAAATTTCTAACCACGCAGACGGTCGGACGCGGAAAAACATGGCGGACCGGCACGGCAGAGGTTCGTAAATACAGACATTTGTATGATTCAGCTCTCAGAGATCACCGTGATCAACATGTTGTTAATAATTCTTGGAGAGAAATAGCTCGCACTGTCGGAAAAGACGAGAACGCTGTTAAAAATGCTGAAATACCATGTTGTAAACAGTGATTTCTACTTCTACTATGGTGTAGTGTTGGATGCATGCTGTAGAGCTCCATGCTGCCCCGTTCAGTTTGGGAGAATATTGGCTCACCGCAGAGACGAGCCGCACAAACCATAAACGCTGCGAGTTGTGAAGCGCGTTCCAGCCGCGAGCCGCATCACCGCGCGGAAAGTGAATGCGTCAAGCATAAACCAAGCTTAACTCCACTCCCACTTCATGTTTGAAAAATGCAACAAATGCTGTTGCCTGGCAGACCGAGAGGGCGGAGCTGCTAACAAACACACACACACACAGGCTCACGACAGCATTGTGACATCATAATGTACCAGTTTACATCATAGCATACCTCTTAGCCAATAGCGGTGGCAGATTTAAATTCAAATACAGTGCAGTTTTTACCTGACAACAGCACAACACTGACAGTTTTAGGCAGAATATTTAAATTTTAACTAAGGCCTAGTCCACACGTAGCCGGGTTTAAAAAAAAACAAACGAATATCCGCCCCTCCAAAAACTTGTATCCACACCACCTCGTTTTAAAAAAAAAAACTGTCCACATGTACCCGGATAAATACGTTGTTAAGGACATGCCAGACCTGTAGGCGGCAGTACTTCCCCCGTTCTTAACCTCGTCCTTCGTCTGTGGTCTTCCGTAAGGAGCAGTAATTCCGCTTGCAAAAACAAACAAGCAAAAAGCGCTTGGACAATTGATAAAGAGCGCAGCTCTGAGGACATCCATGCTGTCGGCTAGTGTAAACACAGGTCGCACACGTGATGTCAGCATTTTTTTGTCGCAGAAAGTGACGTTGTGGACCTTAAAACTCCGGTTTTGTCTGTCCACACGCAGACACCCAAAACGGAGAAAACGCAGAACTTCACTTTGACCGGAGTTTTTAAAAAGATCCGTTTTCGTGTAAAAAAACTCAGTTTTCGTGTGGATGACAGGCCAAAACGTAGAAAAATATCTACGTTTTGGCAGATCCCCGGCTATGTGTGGACAGGGCCTAAGATGCACTGAAGCGCCAAATTATTGACTACATGTGTCTGCAGCACAATTAGACACTATTTATGTAGTTTATCAGCAAAAAAAGTTTATTTGGGGGTGACTTGCTCTTTAAAAGAATATCTGCATAAAGAGGTGTGGTATTCTAGGATTTAGGTTTGTTAAATGGTCTGTTTGATCCCATTTAATCTGTTTTTACAACAGATTTTGACTAATCATCACATCCGACAGAAATCCTGCTAAAGTACATCTGTACTATGTCAAATGTTTATTTTTAAGCCTTCAGGGTGTACCTATGATAATTAAATTGAATGAAATACAAAACTAAAAAAGCAAAAGAGCAAAAAGTGAAATAATTTAAACTCATGAGATGTTGCACAAGTAAAAATCTACTTTCCAACCTTGGTTTGGGGAGTAACCAATAGTCAACTTTATTTAGATTTTTGCTGCTTTTCCATGTGTGACCAGTGAGCACTTGAGGGAGGATGATGCTGATTGTACGTCGCAGGCAAACTAGAGTCTATACAGCTGACATACTTGATCATTTCTTTTAGTTACAAAAATAATTTAATTAAGTATCACATGGTGAGGCTGAATGATTAGAGCCACAACTACGCTCCTTCTTCCCATCTTTTGACCACTGCAGACATCTTCAGAGAGACGGGGGAAGTTTAAGAAGGAAACTTCTCTCTTTAAGGCATATGAGCACCAGTTTTAATGGCATCTGATTGAGTTTTCAGTCTTTGACGTGACAAGACAAACTTCTGGCTGAGGTTCAACAAGAGCGAGGAAATCAGAGCCTTCAAAATCTCACGCCGCTTCAAGTGTTTGCCAAGAAAAATTAGCCGAAAGGTAGACTGGAGTAGCACGACTCGGTGGGTTAAGGTGAGTTCGAGGCACTGTTTGGAAATAGTGTGAAAGAAGCAGGGAGACGAATGGTGGATTATCTTAGCACGATCTAATTCAGTGGCTGAATCACAACTCAGCATCTAACCTAATCATAATAATAAGCATCTAATAAATAGGATAAAAACACGAATCTTTGGAATATTCGAAGATTAAGATGAGTACCGCGCTTGTTAGCATGAGCAGAGAAGATGCTGATGGTAGAAAACGATGGAGACTATGTACACAGACTTTACTACAGCTGCAGAGCAGACAACAGGCCTCTCTCACACACACACACACACACGCGCACACACACACAGAAGTGTAGTGTTTGATTCCACTGTTATCTGGAGCTTAACTGAGCGGGCCTGATGTTAAGAAAAAGAAAATAGCCACACAAACATAAAAGGAAAAAAAAAAATACAAAAACAGAAACAATTCAAGTTGTTTGACTCTGAGTCGTAGTACAAATATAACAATATAAAGTACCTGCATATGTGATACATGACATATAGGCTGACTATAAAAAAGGCCCCCTGAAAAAGACTGCTCTCCCATTAGAAACAGAGCATGAAATGACCACGTGGAGAGCGGAGAGAACGGTCTGCCGTAAGGGGGAGCTTATCTTCCCAGGCTGTTCAAAAAATGCACCAACAGTATTTTTTTCTTATTTGGCTTATTTCAGTGTCTGGAATTTGTAGAGAAACTCAGAAAAACCAAGGCAAGAGAGCAAGCAGCCGCGACCACTTGTCCCCCTCCTGTGGGCGTTTCCCCATCCGTCCCTTTCCCTGTGCTTGCGTTGGGTTTTAGGTTTTTTTTATAGTTTCCTCTAAGAGGACTCCAAGTTTGGCTTCTCAGCTCAGGGCCTTGTGTCGACCACCGCAGCAGCCGCATGCAAGCCCCGCCCGGTGGCACGCGTGGAGCGGTGGGTAGAGGCAAAGGCACGGCGCCACCACAGACAGGCCCAGCAGAGCTAACCAGCGCGTGCCAAGACGGCCTCCGCCGCTGCCCTCGCCCCCGTCACAGGAGCAAGGATCTGAGTACTCCCCCTCTGGGTCGGACATGCAGTGGTACAGCATGGTGTCTGCCAACCACATGCAGCTAACCCGTCGGATGCACGCCCGCACCGGGTCTGGAGCATCCTGGCACTGGCCTCTCCGGTTGTTCGAGACGTGAAAGGCCTCGCCGCAGTGCTCACACTGAGCACGCTCCATTTCTTTGTCCTTCCGTCCCTTCCTGCCAATTGAGAACGAGGAGCGAGGCTGGATGGAGACCACAGAGGGAAAGCCTTGATGGTAGGAGCCGCTGTGGCCCTTACCGGTTAAGGGTCCAAGGGCAGGGTCAGAGTCCGAGGGTGACAAGGCTGGCGCCAGTGGATAGGTGTAGTCATGCTTCTGTGCCTCCGTCTTATCAAAGTGGACGTAGGACTCAGAGTCGTCTGTGTGGATGAATTTGTCACGCATGACTGCATGTCGGTAGTCCTCATAACCAGTGTGCCAGGGCCGGTCTGAGTGGCGCCCAAGGTGACGCTCCGTGTTTCGCTCCCAGCTGCGCTCCCGTGGGTTGATCCGGACAATTTCCTCATCCTCAAATGTGACATGGCGGGGAATCCGTGACAATGACTGCAGAGGAAGACAAAATAAAATGTTAGCACAGTTAATGAAATATCCAGACACATTAGACAGAATCACAAAAGGATGATGCCGTGTGATATGACACCATATGCATTACGTTACTCAACATACTAACAGTGTTGCTTCACAATCCACACCATTTTTGGCTCACCGTGTCCAAGTAGTAGTGGTCAGTGAGCCGGTACGAGTCGTGCAGGTCGTGACGATGTCCTGGCACGCACTTGTGTCTCTGCGGAAGAGGCGAGGACTCGAGCAGCTGCAGAGAGCCGTCCAACTTCTGAGAGGAGTTGGATGAGCTGTCTGTGTTGTTCTGAGAGGACAAACAAACACAGGATGTGCACTGAAAAGCTGCTTTTTGATTGGACATGTCAAAACAAACAGAGAGGAGGACACGGTGATTGGACAAACAAAAACAGGAAACTTTGGTGCTGCACTGATTGGGAAAACAGGAGGCTTGTGAGCTGCTTTTAAAACCACTTGATCCAAGTTTGTACCGCAGCTTGTGAAGTTAAAAACATCTGCTGTTAGGCATACCTTAAAGGGGTTTTGGCCATTTTGAACAGCGTTTTTGTGTGTAAAGCTTTAAATAATAGTTTCCCGAGCAGCCTCTGCTTGGAGAAACAGCTAGTCAAATCACACCCAAGACTCAAGTGCCCTAAAAAAGCTCCAATCTTCTAAATTCACAAAAGACCAATCAAATGTTATTTTATAAACCACAACTATGCTGTTGAATTTATATTATACAATTATTTTCAGAATCATCTGTGGTCATTTACAAGCATAACTGTGACCAACAGCACAGACACATAGCACCTCTGATGCATTCAGGGTCAAATCTGACAGGAAACTCTTAATGTGCTGCTGAATGACTGTGTAATGCCAAATTGAGGAAGAAGTAAAGGTTTCCAAATAATGTTTGCGTGAATCAGTGAGAAATGTAAAAGACTGGAACGATTTTAAGGCTGCAGCTGTCTGCATTTGGCTCAGTTTGGACCGTATTAACAAACTAAAAGATCCTTTGTACACTTTGTTCTTGGCTACCTGCTAACTAATGAGTCCAGCAGGACTTTAATTCTATTTCCCTGAACCGAGGCCATTCAGTGTGCGACTTTCAATGAGTACGACAGTAATTCCATAAGAGACATGCCTCAAAATATTAAAATAAAAACATTTATTCATCAAAATTTAAGGATGCCGTAACCAGAAAAAACGGATTGACAAAATAATCTTGGAGGTCATACTGCACTCTTCAAAATTACACTATTAACACATCATGATATTATAAAAGATATTTTTTCACTACACAAAGAGTATTAAAAAAGAAGAAAATATCCTTTAACAGATTAAAGGAGGTGGTTAGAGTCCTGGGGTGCAGTTTTGTGCAGATTCACAACTTTTCTCTTCTTTTCGTAGCTGCACTTGCCAGTATGATGTTCAACCCTTTATTGGTAAACTGCTTTAAATATAAGCACTAATAGGTTATTTCGTTTTCTTTTTACTTTGCTTAATAAGCCAGTATGAGTTCATGTGAGGTGAGCAGAGTAAACCAACTAAAATGCTGCTTAGAAATGATCACATTCAAAAGTGTTTAGGCACAAAATATTATGCTGAAAATAATGAACATTTCATTTCATTCCTGGGTATAAATTCAGGCTGACAAAAGTAACTTAAAATTACATGTTAATTGTGCCAATGGTAACATTTGATCATATATTGTGCCTATCTTTTCCCTCAGAGGTTTAAAATAGCATGATATGGAACCTCAAGAGTGTTGTTATGAGAACTCCTGTCCTGATGCATCACCTTTTTTAGGTCTCCTCCGTTTAATCTACTCTCCCTCATCTTCACTCTCTTCCATCACAACAACCTGTCCTCCTTAACTCAATCTCACTTCCCCACATTTCCATTTATCCTCCATCTCCCTCCACCGCTCCACACATCTCAGTGTGCGTGTGTGTGTGAAAATAGTATCCCCCCTCCCCCGTTAAAGGCAGTCAGGGCTCCTCTCCGACTCAAATTGTGGTCAGACAGAAGGCAGTCAGGCTGCTGCCAGACAGACGAGTTTCAGACATGCATGCTGGGGTCATCTCAGGGCACCGTCTGATGGGCAGGTCGGGGCTTCTCCTGTCTCCTTATGTTATTGTGGCTGCATGAGTGCAAGAGGAGCTTTTCAGCATGTGTTTGGTTCAGTGAAACGGGTGAAAGAGTGAAAATGGGCTCGCTAATTTGAAGAAGAACCACAAAAACAAACTTTTTCGAATCAATTTAAGACGACATTTCAGGACATTTGTATCAAGTTTCCTTGTGCATTCTATACTGCTGTAAAGCCCTTCGAGCTTTAAAGATGCATCATGTAAGAATGAACCATGTATGACATCCTGTGGTCAAATGTGGGTACTGCAGCCAATTTTCAAAACACACGAGTCACTTTCTGATTCCCGTTCTGAGTTTCATGCTGTTGCCAGCTACAGATCAGCACCAGAAGGTTCTAGATGACGAGCAAGATGAGTCATACATGGTAAGTTGATAAATATGTGTTTTAAGCCAACGATTTGCTTCTAATTTACATTGTTAGCTCAACATTAGCCGCTATCTTTAATCACCCAATATTAGAGTAAAAATAAGGTTCCATGGCTTCTTACGAGTACAAGAAATAACTTCTGAGTCTTATATGTCACTGGCTTATGATCTTTGTAAACACACTGCTGTGTTTTGCCGGCCAGCGTAGAATTACAAATGTGGCCGCTACAGTATTAGCTCGTGCAGACTCAGAAACCACAGCTCTTTAGGTTTTTTGAAAAGAGAAAAACTGACAACCCCCCAGGCGGCTGAAACGGAAATCTGCTTCAATGTAACTTTCCTTCCAACATGACTGAGACGTAGGGAGCCCAGGTCTACTTCTGGAAGAACAAAAACATGAATACAAGTCAACCGGGCTAAAACCGCTATTTTCTAACCCGCATTGCCTTACGCTCTGGATCGCACATATGTTGTACTGCAATTTAAATGAAAAGTAATGATGGGTGTTTCGACCACGCCAGTCATGTATTTATCAGCTTGCAAGTTTGTAGTTAGCATGACTACAAACTAGAAATCGGCACGTCGCATATGTGACGTCACCACATAATCTCCTGTCCCCTAACATAGCTGCTACTTACCAAATGACCAGATTTATGATGGTTCTTTCCTCCTGTGGGAAGTTTGCTGAACTTACAGCCATTTTCTCTCAGTTTTCTCCGTGTCTGGTTCGATGACGTCACTTTAGTGAAGCGCATTTGTAGTCCTGGACTTATTTTCAAACAAAATCTAAAATAGCATTTCCCCCTGTTTGAAAATGAGCATATTCTTGGTATCAAAATGCATCTTTAAAATTCACGGACATCATATGTGAAATCCATGGCACAAAACAAGCGGAATTAGAAAATAGCGTTTTTAGCCTCATTGACTTGCATTCATTTTTTCATTCTTCCAGGGACCCGTGGTCCGGAAGTGACTTAGGCTCCCTATTAGACTGTTTTGTGATTTTTTTATACTGTAGAATTCTTACATATTGTACCTTTAAGTGCTGCCTTGTACCCAACTGGGAGCTCTTGGACAGCCTGTACTGCACAAGTGACCTACAACAACCCCCGGATGAGGAAAGGGATGCCCTTCCACAGCTAAATATTACCAGCACGAGGAGAAGCAAAGCAACTGTGGCTGCATATGGACATTTTACATGCTACTGAGACCCCTGACAATGCATGTTTAGTTTTGTCTACAGATACACAACAGTCCTCATGAGCTGCTCCTCGTGGCGAAGTGATAGTAAGAAATTCTTCTCTTTTTTGTGCTACGCTTACTGAATAAGACTGTAGACTGAAGCTAGAGGCTAATGCCTTGTGTTACCCCCTGAGCCTTGCTCCTAGAACCCCTTGGTCTGAAATCAAATGGGACACCCCTTCCCCATAGCAATACATTGTTTTTCTTGTGGATTCATTTTTACGCACAGACACAAACACATTTCTACTAGAGCTCTGATTGTGTGATGATGACGATTTATGCCAGTTTCTGCACCCATACTGAGACAATTAAATCCAAAAAGGAACAGCTGTAAAGGTGTACAGCCGGACTCCAGTGAATGGTGGATATTAATTATTGTTTGCAAATAACCTAAAAACATTACCCCACAAACCAAATCATACATTTCTCAAAACCCCACTTTACTTAATGGCCATCTAATGCAACTACAGATGCCAGAAATGTGCAGGTCCAACGGGTGCACGCACGCATACACACACACACACACACACACACACACACACACACACACACACACACACACACACACACACACACACACACACACACACACACACACACACACACACACACACACACACACACAGACAGAGCTAGGATTATCGGTAGTCACAAACTTATTCTCAATTCTTTGGTTTCAAAATCTGCCACTTCAGCACACAAAGAACAACTCTCTGAAGTTATGTGTTATTTGAGCTATATGACCCAGATCTGGTGTGTGTGTGTGTGTGTGTGTGTGTGTGTGTGTGTCTGTCTGCTGAAGCCATCCCTATTATATCCTGCTCCCCACATGGATTCTGCCATGCTGAGAATTTCCCCCAGCTTTCTTACAAAGCCCTCAAAGCAGCCAGCCAAAAATAACTCTACATGCTCCCTCTGCTCCTGGTCTGTCCGTCTGTCCCCGAGAAGCCATTACTGATTTGGATGGGGTACCAGTTTGATTTTGGCCTCCATGGCCACAACTAATTCAAAACACAGTCCAGAGGAGAGTTTGTATTTCTGGACATCCTCTCACTATGTATTCTGGTCTGAAGCAGGACGGGGGGGAATTTCAAGTTATTTTCTGACACAAAACAGGTTTCAGCTCAAAGCTCGGGGGGATTCATCCTTCAACAGGCCCATCTTGGTCTCCTGGGATAAGTCCAGAATTGCTTCAATAGTTTTCACTCCCCCTGTTGTGAATGAACCAAAATAGAGACGGGGAGACGTGCTGAAGAGGGGAACAGAGGAAGGCTTGGGTTAAGTTTAGGTTTGTTGAATGAGGAATAATTTCGGGAAGTATGTCCATCCTGACCGACCGACCCCCCCCCGGCCGTCGTCCTCTTATCCCCTAAATGGCAGTAAATCTGCTGCAGCATTTCCTCCTGTCCCCGACTGTCTGCCTCATAAACGCTGCTACTGCTGCCACTAACTTTTGGAAAGGTCATTAGCACATGCTAAATGGATCGAAAGCATCAGTGAATGGCAAAGAAGCCACATAAACTGAATTAAACTAGCAGTTTCAAATTTAGTCACATGACCAGATGCAAATTTGTAAAATTTGTCAAAAAAGGAGTGAGAAATGTACCGTTGATGGGATTTCTGACACATCCGTCACTAATCTGGTAGAACTGTTTACGATCATGTAGGCAAGAAGGGAAAATCTTTACCTGTAGCTGCAGCCTACACAAAGTTTAGAATATATTATACATTTTTGGCATAAAAATCATAATTTAGAGGTTTTTTTTATCCAATGCAGATATGTTCAGAGAAATTGAACATAAATCCAGGGCTGACAGGCTAACGGCTAGTGTGAGCACAGATAATAATAAGGTGTTTTCCAGCCATCGTATAATAGTTTCAAAAAATCATACAAGCCATTACTTTTATACTGTTCCATCAGTTTCACGTTGCATCATTGTTTCAGCGGATAAATGAAGTTCTTGCTGGACTCGACCTCCGGATGTACCAGAAGGGCCACAGCTGGTATTCCCACTCCTACAGGTGATGTGTAGATCTGCTGACCATTACCTTGAAGATAGTTTAAAAACTCAATCTACTACTGAACTGGAAACATGATCAAACTATTGTGTGCAGCCTAAACTGAAAGTCCTGAGTTTGATTATCACACAGCTCCAAGCAACAAAACTCAGGAGACTGCTTGGATTTGTTCCACTGAGAGACTGGATGCTCCTGAGCTCCCCCCGCCAGCGCCTCACCTCTCCGCCCCTCCTCGTGTGTTTGTATGTGTCTCTGTGGTGGCTGTACACTCCCAGCAGAGCACCTATTAGTCTTGGCCCTAACAGACAGCTCGAGTCAAAGATGAACCACAAGGCACTTCCTCTCGTAAATCACCAGCCCTGCACTAAGCTGGGAAACAGCTGCTAGCTTGGTGGCTGGGAGGGTGGAGTGTGTGTGTGTGTGTGTGTGTGTGTGTGTGTGTGTGTGTGTGTGTGTGTGTGTGTGTGTGTGTGTGTGTGTGTGTGTGTGTGTGTGTGTGTGTGTGTGTGTGTGTGTGTGTGTGCGTGCGTGTGTGTGTGTGTGTGTGTGTGTGGAGGGAGGGAGCTGGTGGGATACAGGAAGTGACCTTGTGACCCTGCCTGCTGGCCTGGAGTCAGATTACAGTGTTAGAGGAGGAGACAGAGGAGGAAGGGGGCTCTTCATGCTAACTTAAAAAGGCCTTGGCACACAAATAACATGCATGTGCATGCACGTGCACGCATGCACACACCATCTACTTTAGCAGGTATCCATTACAGGAATACTATTTCCCGAGTTTACAAAAAAATAAAAAGTTCAGAATTGTGATTCGGTGCAGAAAAACAGATGACCACTTTATCTCTAGCTTTTAGGAGTAAATTCAGTAATTTCATTTTCCTGTTTAACTGTGGACTTTGGATTTTAAGAGTGGAGCAATCAACCAAGCTTTCCCATTGGTTTACTCCTCCTCAGAAGCTGTTCATACCAAAGGCAGCCCTGTTTAAACCAAACCTGATGGCCCTGTTGGAAGAGTGTGTTGTTTAAAACGCGAAATCAGATCCAGGAAGCCCAGTTTGAGTACGTTTCCAGGCTTATCAGATGCCAGAAGCTTGCCAAAACAGTTTATAACACTCTAAAGACTCTCCACAACTCTGGGGAGATATCACAGCAGCAATTACTTTATCTTTCGCTGCAGGGTAAACACAATAAATACTGCAGCACACATACCTGGCACACACATTTTCATTTTGAGATGATAAAGTCTGAAACTCCAAAAGAGAAAGAAAAATAAACTCAAAAAGCAACATGAGCTATATGATGTTTCTTAAATAAGTAAAAGACCTGCCATCGCCCGGAGAAATCACGCTGGGTCACCGCCTTTTTTATCTTAACATTAAAATAGAAATCCGGCGTGTTTTTCTCAGAGGGCACCATCTAGGGGCGGAAAAATGTATTGCACATTAAGCCCCTCTCACTACTTCCATCACAAACCTCAAAAACCATCCCATAGGATCTTTAACCACTTGGTCGTTAATGGTTCTCAGTGAGTACCACCAAAAATCTGAGCTTAATATCGGAACAGTAAACAGATCTGGAGACTTTTGATCAACCGTGGCGGCCATCTTCAATGAGCTCGGCTGCACGCATTAATTAGCTATAGATGTAAGTTTCACAGAGAGACAATTGTGGGATTTTTTGCTAACACAAACATGTTAACGCACGCAGGCACTTTAACATCTGCTCTTTGATGCAATACTGCTGTGAATTTCTAAGTCCAGACATTATTGCATGCTGAATGCAGGAGATCACACCATATTTCAAGTGCTGTGCTGCTGTTGCACAATGAGAGCGGTGACACACGGTTTGACACTTTGCTCCGTGACTTCCTCTGCTGCCAGCTCAGAGATGCATCAACTTTGACCTCATGTGACAAACGGTACGATGCAAAAGAAAACCTCAAAGGTCCTGCCTAAACAAGCAGCATGAGTCATTGAATCTGCTTACAAATGATCTGTTATTCTAAATAAATTATAGGAATTTATGTTCAAAGAAAAGAAAAGCCTTAGTCGTTTGCAAATCAAAAAGAGGAAGGGGGTTACTCATCCTAAAATATAAAAGATGTGTAACTAATTCTAGGAAATGCTTACAGTAAAGACGTCATCGTCCCCCAGTTCACTCTCATTCTGGAGTGCTGTGGAGGAAGTAGTGGAACCTAAAGAGACCAAAACAAAATACATGCAGATGAAACAAACATCTTTGCACTCTGATTTTTCCAACTGCATCTCCTCAAAAATCAGCTCTCTCCTAGTGATTCTCCGTATTTCAGCTGTTGACTGTAACCCAACAAAGCCTTGATCATTTTCTGCTCTAACTGCTTTTGGACGTGAACTTCCTCACCCTGCCACTTAAAAAACTTTAGAAATTCTATTTTAAGAAGCTTTTTCCCCCACACTCGGTTCCATTCAGGTCCTCGCCACGACAGACTGGTTTTATCTTTAGATGGTGGCGTGTGTCAAACATTTCAGACTGTGTTTTCTCATCTATGACTTTCACGTCTTGTTCATTTTCAGTTTTAAAGGCATTAATGTTGTTTTAGTTTTAACTATCAACTCAGAACCAAGCACACCAAGACAGTATTTGATTACAGTGCAGCAGATTTTACCTTCAGCCAAATCCTCGATGGCTTTCCGAACTCCTCTGTCGAAGGCCCTGGCATCAGCTGGACTCTGGAAGGACAGACCACACCTCCTGTCCTCCACTTTCCAGTGGTGAAATGTTGGCATCGCAATGGTGTACACCAGGTCCTTCCTCAGCGGACAGTCCAAGATCACCTGAGTATCATCCAGCCAATCAAAACAGGGAGATGTTTCCATCTCTGACCTTTGACCCTTTCAGAAAGAAAGTGTGAAGCCTGGTTTTACCTGTTTGTCTCGCAGCCGTTCTCCTCGGATAAGGAACTGGGATTTGCCAGAGCCTAGGATGGGGGTCAGATCCGTCGGAAGGAGGCGGCATACCCCCACCCTGCTGAGGGCTCCCCCGTCCTGGGCCAGCCAACCACCGCTCGAGTCGTCCCTCGTCATCACCACCGCTTTCACACGCACGATGTAGCTGTCGCTGCATGGGAAGACAAAAAATACCAAACTTAAATAAAAAAAAGACGTCTGTGTATTTTTATTCATGCAGAAATGCATGAAAAATATAAAACCACGTATTTTCAGCACAAAAGTTAGCCACGACTCAGTCAGAGTGCTAATGCTGTGAAGTCAAACTCGTCTTAATGCCACAGAAAGTTTATTATAGCTTTGGATTCACACCCTGGCAGACTGTCTGAGGGCGTCCTAAGTCACGACTTAGCCTGGGCCTTGCTGTGCTGCAGTGGGAGGTGTTGCACCAGGACAAGTCAGCATGAAAGCACACTCACAGCACCAAACTTTAACGGAGACACAACTTCATGTTAAACACCTGTTGCTATATGGAGGGTTTGAGCATGACCACCAGCAGCTGAGCCAAGTGGAGATGCTACTTAAATGGTACCTGGTTTTACTCAATATTGCTTCTGCGTTTAAACTATAGCGGTTATTTGTGTTATAGAATAAATCAAACCCAAATCTAAAAAGAAGCTGCCAAAATTTTTCATTTCAAAAGAGAAGTGATAAACTACTTGAGAATTCAGGAGAAAATGTCAATCTGTAAAATAAATTTTCCGGTTTGGTTTGTGCAGATTCTGTAAACCACATGCACCAAACTTACTAAAGGTTATTTTAGACCAACAGAACTGTTTTAATAATATGTTATTATATGTTGCTTCAGTAGCTTTAATTCAAATTCTCTTATTGCTTCATATTAACAGATAATGAATATCAAAGCCTGTTACAGCCACCGAAAAGTACTAATACAAGATGGAAGCCCTTTATATTAATAAACGTTATTATGAGTTTCAGATATGTTGAAGTACAGTAAATGTGTTTGTTTGAGACGTATTTTGAAGAATTGGAGGAAGGCTGATGGGGTTGTGCTGTAGACGCCGAGTTAAAAGATGACTCCTCAGATTCAATAAACTGACGTCTGTTATAGTTTACTCAGTAAACTTTAAATCTCCACTGGTACCAAACTCAGTTCATATTCCAATAATAAAAAGTACAGAACTTTTTTTGCAGTGAACTTGGGTCTTTAAGAGAATCCCATAGAAAAACTTTTGATCTTTGACCTTAAAAAGTCCATTCATACTGGAAAATCCTCCAATATGGCCAAATTAAAAAATCATATATCATGCAAAATCCATGTTTTGGAGCTTTTGATCATGTTATATTAATATTTCCTGATGAAAACACCCCAAAGTGGTTTTTGACTTCACATATGCATTTTCCAGGCTGCAGAAGCCAGAAGCCTGGTTTGTTGCAGCGTCATCACAGCCTCCTCCTCCCCGTCCAGGAAATATCGAGTCTGCATCCCTCCTCCCCCAGACTGTAACCATTAACACCCAATCTACCTGTGTTGCTAGCAGGGAGTTTAATCTCCACAGCTGTGAAGAAGTGATTTATTTTTTTATCTAGCCTGCACTTTAAATAATGCTTAGAACCCAGAAATGGATTTTTGCCTGCAAAGGGAACAAGATCTCTGTCCAGTCTTACTGAAGAATCGGCAGAAACGGTTGAATTTTATCTCCAGGAGCTTTCAAAAACCAAGCCAGAATGTGAATGTGATTTCAGACTGCTTTTTAAGGCACTGCCAGTACCAGAGAGGGTTTTCAGATGGATTAGTTCTTCAATAGTGTCATTCCAACAGTAAAACCACCCAATGGACAGGCCACAGCAATGAGTACAACCAACATGCTAACCACTAGCTGAATACTTATAAAGTTTAGCATTGAGGCTGGTATCTGCAGCCACCTGAGCCACCCTTTCTATGTTTTAGTGGTGTGTGTGTGTGTAAGTCTGTGTGTGTACCTAAGTATTTAGACCCTCCAAACAAGATTTCTCGTGGTGGGGTGGGGCATAACAAATAATCTCCAGCAAGTGTGAATCTGTACTCTCAAGGTCTGCAGCTGCATATGTACTGTTGTGTAATTCACACTGGGGGATGCAGGGTTTGATTTAATCCAACTGTACAAGTAATGAGGCACAAACATATCTTATCTTTAACCCTCCCACTGTCTTTTTGGGTGACCCTGTGAGGAAAGTAGACCATTGAGCAGGATTTATGGTTTATCCATGTGGCAGGGGTGAGGTGGTGCTCACTCCTCACCCCTGCCACATGGACCCAAGGGTTCTGGCAGGGTCACACCCATTAGGACAGTGGGAGGGTTAATTAAAAGACATCTCAATAGTGCAATGGTAATATTGTATCATATATTGTGCCTTTGGTTGCTCTGGAAGGTGTAAAATGGCTTTTTGCAGGTCCTTTAAAACAAACTCTCCACAGTGAGATGACAGACTCATCATCAGTCATCACAAATATTTGTCAGAGTTACAATAGTTGGAATGAGGGGCAACTATTGTTTCACATAGAGCCAGGTTGGTCCACACAGCTGTTTGCTTTTTGTAAATGAAGATCTTAATTTTATTATAATGCCTTGACAAGACTGAAACTAGATATATACCAATAGCTGGCTATTCAGCACCACCAGGAAACCTGAAACTCAGAAACACATAGGTCTTTGGAATTAATCTCAATTTGTGCATGTCAGAGCGAAGGAGAATCATTTTTATCCAAGACAATAAAAAAGGTCATAAAGAAGAAAAAATAAACGTGCAAAAACAAGCTCTAAAACACAACAGTCCTATTTTAAACTTGTGGTATAACATAAAACGTCCAGCTTATTTATCTGAAATGATAGATAAACCACAGATCAACATCACCACATTCAATCCTACAGAAAAAGGAACGTTTTCAGCCTAGACTCCACGAAATTTGCATGTAATGAGATAGCTTATTATGAGATAAATATTAATCCTTTCATAATATGTACCTAGACGTGTTTCTTAGATGAAAAATAGACCATTTAGAGTGGCTAGGAGCCTCTATAGGACAATCTAGGTAATAATTCAGACACAGTTTGGTCTTCAGCAGCAGAGAAAAACAAACAGGAGACTGGATGTAAAATACGAAGCATTCTCTTGCCTTTGCATGACAGCCACCACCCTCACAGAGACACAATGCACACGATCCCCACGAACGAGGTGACAATAACAGGATGTGCCTCTGTATATTCCATTGATGCTGTGTGATTGTGTGTGTATATGTGTGTGTGTGTGTGTGTTTGTGTGTGTGTCTGTGTGTGTGTGTGCGTGGGAGCAAGATAAAGAGAGACATTAAAAAGATATGGAGGGAGAGAAGCAGCGTGGGAGTGAATGAGAGGTGTTATATAATTAGCTTAGACAGTCCCAAGATCTAATGTGTGCACACACACACACATGCGCGCACACACACACAGGTGGCAAAACTGGTTCACCAGCTCACACCCACACACACACATTCATAAAAGTGACTGAATGACAGACTGACTGGGTGATAGCAGACAAACAGCCGGTAGAGAAAAGCAACCGCAGATTTGCCCACGTTTGCGCGCGCGCGCGCGCACACACACACACACACACACACACACACACACACACACACACACACACACACACACACACACACACACACACACACACACACACACACACACACACACACACACACACACACACTAGATGTATCCCTTTAACATTTAAAGGTTTGTTGTGTTTGGACATCATGGCCCTGTGCAGCCAAACGCCTCTGTAGGTATTATGAAACACATTAGACTAAATTTGGAGCTTTACTGTTGTTACTGGCAGCATCAGCAGCACAGCCTGTGGGTAGATACATTTTCATTTGTCATGTCATACCACAATGGGTGTGGGCAAAAAAAAAAAAACCCATTCAGGTTCTTCTCTGCCATGTGGAAAAAACTTCTAAAGCAGCAAAGGAAATAAATAGTAAAACAGAAATGTCAACGGCCCACTTATATTCCCAATAGCGATGGCTTAAAGGCTAAAAAAGGCACAAATTACTTCAAAAATTAGAAAAGCCATCCAAGATCCAAGTCTTATGCTTTTAAATAATAATCTAGAACTTTTTGAACCAACTCTAACCCAAAACTAAACAGAGCTGGGCTGTAGCTGCTGAATCATCTTTCACTGATTACTGAAATGGTGTCAAATATCAGCCTGTTAATTGGTCGAGCTGATGTAGAATTTTCTCTACATGGTTGACATATCTGCAGGTTTAATGTCTAGAACAAACTCAAGGAAATGAAACTGAAATAGTCTGAAGAGGCTTTGAATCAGATGGTGATGCACTTTATTTTTTATAAAAGCCTTGCTTCAGGGTCTAAAATGGATTATCCCCATCAAGTGAAAATCCTGCAGACCACATTAAAGAAAGCAGAGTAATTTTAGCATAAAGGACACTTCAAAATTAGAACAGATTTTCCACATCTAGATGTGAAAACTGGACCAGGACGGACAGAAACCAGATTAGATCAGCTTCTGGGCAGTGCTTAATGATGTCAATGCAGGTTAAATATGCAAATGAGTTTGCTTTAACATCTGTAATAAGAAAAAGTTGGCAATTTAGCCATTTTTTCCATAAAAGAAAGTTAATTATATTATTGTTTTCTTCCAATTTTACCAATTTAACATCTTATCACTTTTTTTTACCAGTTAATGTCAATGATTAGTGAAATAACAAGGACGTTATTAGTCAACTCTGTTCTCATATTGGAGCACTTCCAAAGAAACAACAATAACGTGTCTTACTTGTTTGTGTGCCTTTAAAATGTCTGTTTATCACGTTAGCTCAATCGGAAGTTGGATTCACAAATCCACGCTGTTGCTTTTAAATTACGATTGAAGTCGGAGCATTGCGGCTGCAGCTCATCATGACTCAAACACACGTATGACACATCCAGATATAGAACAACACATCCCAGCCACCCACTTACAGAAATATCACCAAATTCTGCACTAAATAAGCACATGTGCTCTGCAAGACACACGATCCAGGCTATCGGCTCTCTGAGATGAACTTGTCACATTTTGGTTTGTCTTGTGACCCGTGTTTAGAGCCGTGTCTGCCGACAGACCCTG